GCGTACAAAGCATCAAAACGATACATGCCCAGTGGAAAAAATGCATTTAGTTCATCAGATTTTACTTATTCAGCAAAATACATGTAATTCAGAAATCGCTTGACGAGCTACTTGGAAGGGGGTGGAGAGCTACAGGTTGGAGACTCCTGCCATACACCTTCACTACAATTATTTGGATCAGTTCAGCCATGGAAGTATCGATCTCTAGTGAACTTACTAGTGCCCAAACACTGGCATCACTGTGAAATTTTCAAGGGCCCATCTCATGCAAAATAATTATTTTCACATTGTATCTTCTGCACATATACAAGCACAATTTGGGTTTTGGAACATCCATTACACAATAGTTATGAAATCTTACTGATTTCTTGGAGGGAGTCACAGACCAGGAACTATGAAAGGCCGACTATTGCTCCTCCCCCCGCCCGTCCTGAGAAAACACAGGCTCCGCCCTCCAAACGTGACGTAGGCAACGAGTGAGCCGCCCTTCCTCCGCCCATCTCAGGGAGGGAGGGGGAGACAGGCGTGCACCCTGATAGCGGTAGGAGTAAACTTTTATTCATCATGGTGATACAGCTCGTTCAGCCGCATGTGTTAGACCCGGAATCGGACGAGGACTTAGAGGTGCACTGCGTCGACATCAGCTGAACATTACTGATTGGTAAAGTATTAATAAACACTAGTAGATAAATTTATATCGTGTTCACTGCAGTGTAGAACAGTTAGCTTATGCTGTTGCTTTTGTTTAGGTGTTCATGTGGGAATTGTCAGCCAATGTGCAGTGGAGGCGGTGGAGCAGGGGCAAGTGCTTTCTGCTACATCAGACGCGTCATAGGTGTATCTGGCCACGTCATCATTGTAGCAGCTTTAGTTCGTTGTCACGTGGGAGGGTGGCAGAAATACGCTGCAATTTGTTAAAAAAAAAACACAGAATCAAACTAAGGCTGCGTTCAGACTGCAGCCTGAAGTGTCCCAAATCCGATTTTTTGGCTTCTATGTGACCTGTATCCGATATTTGACAGTCTGAACGGCACAGATCCGAATTTTTCAAATGCGACCCAGGCCACTTGGATATGTGGTCCTGAATCCGATACATATCCGATCTTTTGACATGCGACTTCAGTGTTAACGGCCAAAGTGCATCCATCCGACCTACACGTCATCAACAAGCAACAAACGTCACTATTCTGCGCTGAAGCAGGCGGAAACCGGAACTGTAAAATCTCCAGGTGCTCAATGCTCGCATCCATGTTTGGACAACTTCCGTAAACACAGAGCACGGTCGCTGAGATTGACGAATGGTGTTGACGTCATCGTGTCCTCCAGTGCACATGCGGGACACTTTCGGGCTGTTTACCGTTCACACTGGAGTCACAGACAAGTCGCATTTAATTGGAAATGTGAACGACCTCGCAAAAACATCAGATTTCACAAAAAAATCGGAATTGAGCATTAAGCCCTGCAGTCTGAACGTAGCCTAAAAGCCACTTTGGCGACATATACAAGGCCCACACATCACTCTAAGAAGGTAGAAACCTCTGAAAAGTTGATTTTTCATGAGATGGGCCCTTTAAAGAAACATAAACTTTTTAACTTTGAAAATTTTACCAGTTTTAATAATCTTGAATTCTTTTAATATTTCATAAAATGTACACACAGTGCGAACACAAGAGGCGCTACTAGTGGTAACTGCATTGTTCCTATGTACAGGAAGGTTCTTGGTCAGTCTCTTTCTCTTTTAAAGGGACCAGACTGTGGAACGGTTTACCAGCTCATTTTATATTGGAAATCAATAACTAATTTAAAAAGTAAATTAAAATTACTGTATGTTTCCAATAAAAAAAATGCTTCCCTTGAAAATGTTCTGTATATATATTTTATCTATGTAATTTATCTGTCTTGTATTGTCTGTTTTTATGCACTTAAGTTTATATTTTTATATGGACAGGTGTTGAAAAAGTAAAAAAGCAACTAGCAACTCCACATATTTTTGAGGAGATAACAACATTCTAACATGGCTTAAAGCTCACAAGAGTCAGTTTTGATAATATAAGACCTTTAAGTGTGTTTTCGTATCGAGCCTCACCTGCCCTGGGCTCTTTAAAGGGTGTGTGGTTCAGGTCTGTGCCAGGATTCAACAGAGAGGCAGACTCCCCACCGAGACGCACATATGGACAACCAAACACCAGTGTACCAAAACAGGACAGGAGAGAGGGATGAGAGAGGTAGAGAGAACGAGGAGAGGGAGGAGCGAGGGATCAGGGGGAAAGAGGGTTGAGGAGGTAAAAGAGGAGAGGGAGAAGAGAGAGCACCGGCACCATGTGGACAGATAAACACCAGTGTACCAAAACAGGAGAGGGATGGACGGAGGTAAGAGAGGAATGAAAGAGAGAGGAAAGAGGGATGAGGGAAGAGAGCGAGAGAAGGATGAGGAGGCAAAAGAGGAGAGGGCGCTGGCACCATATGGAGAACTAAACACCAGTGTACCAAACCAGAACAGGAGGGATGAGAGGTATGAAACGAAGGAGTAAAAGAGGAGAGGAGTGAGGGATGAGGAGGTAAAAGAGGGAGAGAAGAGGGAAGGCAAGGAAGGAGTGGGGAAAGGAGAGCGAGGGATGAGGAGGCGAGAGAGAAGGAGGAAGGAGGAGTGGGGAGGAGAGTGAAGGATGAGGAGGTGAGAGAGGGAGAGAAGAGGGAAGGCAAGGAAGGAGGAGTGGGGAAAGGAGAGCGAGGGATGAGGAGGCGAGAGAGAAGAGGGAAGGAGTGGGGAGGAGAGCGCGGGATGAGGAGGCAAGGGAGAAAGAGAAGAGGGAAGACAAGGAAGGAGGAGTGGGGAAAGAGTGAGGGAGAGAAGGAAGGCAAGAAAGGAGTGTGGAGAGGAGAGTGAGGGATGAGGAGACGAGAGAGGAGAAAGAGGAGGGAAGGCAAGGAAAGGAGTGGGTAGAGGAGAGAGAGGGATGAGGAGGCGAGAAAGGGAGAGTAGAGACAAGGCAAGGAAGGAGGAGTGGGGAGGAGAGTGAGGGATGAGGAGGCGAGAGAGGGAGAGAAGAAGGAAGGCAAGAAAGGAGTGGGGAAAGGAGAGTGAGGGATGAGAGGGAGAGAAGAGGGAAGGCAAGGGAGGAGGAGTGGGGAGAGGAGAGCGAGGGATGAGGAGGCAAGAGAAGGAGAGAAGAAGGAAGGCAAGAAAGGAGTGGGAGAGGAGAGCGAGGGATGAGGAGGCAGAAAGGGACAAAAGAGGGAAGGCAGGGAAGGAGGAGTGGGGAGAGGAAAGCGAGGGATGAGGAGGCAAGAGGGGGAGAAGAGGGAAGGCAAGGAAAGAGTAGGGAGAGGAGAGCGAGGGATGAGGAGGCAAGAGAGGATAAGAAAGGGCACTGACACCATATGGACAACCAAAACACCAGTGTACCAAAACGGGACAGGAGCGAGGGATGGATGGAGGTATGAAAAAAGTGAAAGAGGAGAGGGAGAGCGAGGGATGAGAGAAGAGAGGGAGAGAGCTGAACGAGGGATGAGGAGGCAAAGGTGAAAGGAAAGGGCACTGGCACCATATGGACAACCAAACACAAGTGTTCCAAAACAGAAGAGTGAGAGATACAGGTATGAGAAGAGTGAAAAGGAGGGAGCGAGGGATGGTTCTGTCTTCACAAAAGTACAACAGAAGAGAGGAACGGAGGTATGAAAGGAGGGAAAGAGGAGCAAGGCATGAGAAAAGAGCGGGAAGAGGAATGAGGGGTGATGAGGAGGCAAAAGAAGAGAGGGAGGAGAGGAAAGAGAGGCAGCATCTTCACAAAAGTACAACAGCAGAGGAGATGAAAAAGGAGAGAGAAAAGAGGAGAGGAAAGTGAGGGATGGGGAGGAAAGAGAGGGAAAGGAAAGGGCACTGGCACAATATGGACATCCCCCCTAAAAGTACAAAAACTGGAGTGAGGAAAGTAAGGGAAGGAGGTATAAAAGAAGGGATGGAGGGATGAAGGAGTGAGAGAGGAGCGAGGGACTGTGATGAAAAGAGGAGTGAGGGATGAGGAGGCAAAAGAGAGGCAGACAGTGGACATATGGACGCTCGCTGTAGTGTACCAAAACGGGAGAGGAGAGGGTGAGGAGCGAGGGATGAGGCGGTAAGAGGGAGGAGGGAGAGACTTGCCACTGAGGACATATGGGCATGGTGCGAAGGATAGAGGGTTAAAAGGAGAGTGAGAGAAGCGAGGGATGAAGATGCAAAAGGAAAGGAGGGAGAGGAAGGTACTGGCTCCATATGGACAGGTCCGGAGCAAGGGATGGAGGAAAAAAAAAGACAAAAAGCTGAGAGGAACAAAGGATGAGGTGGAAAAAGGACACACACAGGTCTACCAAATAAACCTGCAAAAGAGGGAGCACAAACGATGGAAAGAAAAAAAGGGAGGGATGAGGAGGGATGAAAGAAGTGGGAGGCAACTGGCAGCGTATGAACATCCTCACAGAAGAGCACCAAACCAGACACAAACATTCTGTGGAAAATCTCCATGGTGATCATTAAAGTGACATGATGCAGCTTTATTCATTACGTCCTTTTCTAAACAAAATTATGTTGTTTCCTTATTGCAAACACACCGGGAGTTGTGTTTTGTTTCATTCACACGTTTAACACACAAACCCTGCAGATTTAAGATGAGTTTTTCTTTCTCAAACAGAAAACACTGCTCCACCTTGTGATGTCATGTGGCAATACAGGAAGAGCTCCACTGTGTTTTTAAACTCCATACACCTTCACTAGAAACATTTGGATAATTTCATACAGGGAACAGCCAATCTCTACTGAACTCAAGATAAAAGATAGCTGTTAACTTTCAAACTACAACCTCATGACATCACAAGGTGGAACAGAGCATTGGAAATGTAGACAGGCTAATAATGCAGGATTACTCAATGAAAACCTCCAAGTATGTTTTTGAGGCGGTAACATTCTAACATGGTTTAAAGCTCAAGAGTCAATTTGATATAATACAGAAGCACAGAATCATAGGTGTTTTGTAAATAACATTTATTTGAAAACCAGGTGAGTTTAGCTGCTGCCCTGTTTAGCGGCCAGCCTCTTGTCCCTCTCCTCGGCGATGGTGAGTCGGATGCCCTTCCCTCTGGGCAGAGACACCCGGCTTGGTGCCCTATGATGAAAAACAGAACACTGGGTTAGATACGGGTGGTCGGAAAACTATGCACAAGTTCAGGGAAACTACATGTGGCTCCAGTACACGGCCATGTCAAATTATCAACACATTTATTTTAGTGCATTGAGTTTTATTTTGAAGGAGCTCAGAACTTCTTAGAGGAATTGGATGGATTGTTTCATTACTATCAAAACACAAGGGTCATCATTGCTCCAAACTGTATCTTCTATAATTAGATTCAAGGGCTGTACTTCCACTTAATATTTTGACCAGATTTGGAAAACTGCTCCCACACATTTCAGAACGTGTTTGTAGAGATCTAAACTACAATGTTGGCAGTTTCTTCATGGATATTGTGCTACTTCAAAATTAAATTGCAATTTGAGCTGATATTTTTGATTTCCATGGAAGTTTAGGTTTTACATTTACCTGTTTATTTGAAATGTATTTTGCGTTAGTCATTTTATGGTTTTGCTCATTTGATTTCACTGGTTTTATCATTTTAAGAATAGTATGGTAAAATCTGAGGGTCCATTTTTTATTATTAGTTTCATTGAGTATTTGTGCAGCACTTGGGAAACAAAAGTACTGGATTAAAATATAAAAAATATCTTCCGATTTGTACCTTTCCGATGACAAAGATGTTGGAGAGCCTTGTGGCAAAGCTGTTTCCAGTGCTGTCCTTCACGTGGACCACATCGAAGGATCCAGGGTGACGCTCCCTGTTTGTGATCACACCAATACGCCCCAAGTTAGCGCCTCCAGTCACCATGCACAGGTTACCTACAGGGGGCGACACAGGACAGACCAGGAACGCATTATACAGTGGATCACAAACTGGTTTCAATAAAACAAAAAACATTCAGACAGGCATTGTGATAACATTTCTCTTCACATTTTAAAAACACCCAGAAGAATTTACAAAGACTAAAATCTGAACTGACAAATACAAGAATCATGTTTCAGAACAATTCTGTATAGATCTAAACTACAGGGTTAAGTTTCAAACGTGGCACCTTTTGCAATTTGTGATTCATGATTTCAATTAATCTTTCAGCCCTATACCCCAGGAGATGATGTATGCTGAATGAACATGCTGAATGAACAAGGGAATATCAAGAAATTTGGAAAAACAGAATGTCATTTGAAGTTTAATCAAGTTACATTCATCTCTTAAAAAAATGTATCACATTGTTTTGGTCCAGCATGGTCAGTCAGGGGTATCACTGCTGAGTTCATGTGGAAAGGTTTCTACAGCAGGGAGGGGATTATGCAGCCTTCACATGATGGGACCAAATGGCTCTCAGATTCAAAATCACATCAACACCCTCCTTTAAGTTTAGAAAAAGTTCTAATTACAAACACATTACTGCAAATGTGTCAACCAAATATATTTTTCCTCAACACAGAGGAAAGCAAGATGTTCATTTTGAAGCAGCATTTTTCATTTGGACACATTCATGTTCTGATTCAGCAAAAATGATAAAAGCCAGCTGTCCAGATAGTTCAGAGATACTCAACTATTGATGTTTATATAAAAAACTTAAATTTAATACAACACAAACAAATGGGTCCAAAGGAGTAAGTCTCACATTTCAAGCCTAAGTTGTGAAAAGCACTGATGCTCCCATCACAGTAATCATCAAGATGCTCAAAATACACAAAGTGAGGAATAACTGCAGGATGGCAAAGCCTTTAAAGTGCTTAATCAGTCTCATTAAGAAGAAACAAGTTGTTTCTTTTTGAGAATTTAAAAATCAGGTACAGCATGGTCAGCACACAAAGAACACAGATTGGTGGCGTGTGCTGTGTTTAAGTCTCACCGGTGTCAAACTTGATGAAGTCGTTAATCTTGCCCGTCTCCAGGTCGATCCTCACCGTGTCGTTGACCTTGATGAGGGGGTCGGGGTAACGGATGGTGCGGGCGTCGTGGGTCACCAGGTGAGGGATGCCCTTGGTGCCGATCAGGATCTTCTTCACCTTACACAGCTTGTACTGGAATATACAACAGGGGGTTAAACAAGAGTATGACTATTTGCATTGTAATTTGAAACTAACATGTCAAAAATTCATTTTAAGCTAAACATAACCCCATCTTAATATCTGTCTTGCTGCAAGATTGCATTTTGGTCTGTTGTCTAATTTGTGTTCTTTTAACATGTTCTCTTTGACTAATGTGACTATATTTTTAAATTCACTCATCTTTGCGATTGTGTATGGGCCAAATATTTTGTGCTCATGTCCTGTTTTCTGTATCAGCCTGCCAATGGAACTACAGATAAATTAACTTGTATGGCCAACTGTGGCACATTTACATGCTGTACTAACATGCTCATTAATGGGCACAGTAATATTGAACAAACATAATGTAAAGGTTGCAGGTGTAATTCCCACTCACCTTGGCCTCCTCGGAGGTGATGCGGTGAACAGTAAAACGTCCTTTCACGTCATAGATCAGACGGAAGTGCTCTCCAGTCTTCTCAATGCTGATCACATCTGAAGGAAAACACCATTAGAACCAGCACATTTTAAACACAATCCCCCTAATTGAATGGAAAGAAGTTTGTCATTAAAATATAACTGGAGGCAATTTTTAGTGTTCTGCTTTGGTGAATTGCAGTGCCAGCTCCAGTAGATCTGAAACATACTTCATCCACTAATTCACCATCAACCACAAACAAGCCAATTCACACATGGGCAACAAACAGCATTTTAGAGTTCAGTTAAAATCAATTGCAAGCTGACAAATGTAAACCATATGAAAATGACAATTTTAACACTACAGTGAAATGGAAATAACTGGAGCTCAGAACTTCTTAGAGGAGACAAGTTTTATTTCAGCTCAAAGCTCAAACCAACAAAGTCATCATGGCTCCTGTGCATTCTGAGGGACATTGATCACAGCACTACCATATTTTTAATCATTTAGAAACAATTACTTTTAGAAAACATCTTCAGCCCCTTTAAGCAACAATGCTCTGGACTTGAGGTAAACCCAATGCTCTGGAGGTGGCATGTCATCTGCATAATTCCATGTAAAAAGTCAAAACCATACTTCAGAACATTCAATAGAGACTGAAGATGTGGAATATTAAAGCTGTGGGAACAACATTTCTATAGAAATGCACTAAGAGACCCTTCCTCCAGGTCAAAATAGAGTCATGTTTGTAGAGACACAAGCCCGTTCAAAGTGAGAACACGTGTTTTCAGTACAATAAAATTCAAGTTTCCATTATAGACATTTACAGCTAAATATTCCATATTGGAGTAGTGGAATTAGCATAAAGTGGACATACCCATGAACCCAGCGGGGTAGGTGATGTCTGTGCGCACTTTGCCGTCAATCTTGATGAAGCGCTGCATACAGATCTTCTTGACCTCGTCTCCGGTCAGAGCGTACTTCAGACGGTTACGCAGGAAGATGATGAGGGGCAGGCACTCCCTCAGCTTGTGGGGACCGGTGGAGGGCCGGGGAGCCTGGACGAGAGGAGGGGACAGGACGGGTCAGATATAAGACAACGTGCTAAAATTAGGATTTGAATCACTGTTGTAGCCTTTACATTTGTAACCTAGTTGAGGTTCCCACAGGTTTAAGGTGACAAAACTTCCAAAATTCAAAACTAAGACACTCTGGTTGGGATGATTGGTATAAAACTAAACTGTGAAAAGAGCGTGTAACATTGACCATTCTCAGTATATAATCTGAGGGACTTCTGTTGGTGCATTTTTATAGTATCTTATGTACCACCACTTTGTTCAGCTTCTATATTATGGGGCAAAATGTACATTTCTGGAGCTATCCTAGTCTCCTGTTAATGGCACACTGAATAATAATCCGTGTATATTTCTGAAGCAGAGGGTACTCACGAAAACTCCCGTGAGCTTGTCAAGCATCCAGTGCTTGGGCGCTGCGACGCGCTTCAGGTGCTTCTTCGGTCCTCTCGCCTGAAATGAAGAAAGATTGAGTCAGAATTTAAATAAAATACATAAAAGAAATTCAAATAATCAGAGTGTGAGTCGTGAAAGAGCGTAGTGGTCTGGTGGAAGTCCGTTTTGATTAAGATGTTTGCAATAGCCGGTAGCTGAGAATGCAACATGCCGAAATGTGCCAAACTGAACCTGGGCCTAAATCTGTACCGGTACATTTAATACTTTTAGTAACGCAACTTTATTTCCACAAATAAGCGCAATGCACTCCAGTGTTAAAGTTAAGACGGAGGGTTCAAAGAAACAAGTAAACCCAGAAATGTGGCGTTTTCGAGACACGCCGACAGCTAGCAGCGTTAGCCACAGAGAAGCTAACGCTCTCCCCGTACATCCACAGACCAGGATCCGTGACATTAATCTGGCAATAAAAACACTCCATCGCAGTTTATTCTTCTAATTTGAGCACAGATCGTTTGTAAAGAAGTTACACTGTGAGGCTGGAGTTTGTTTAGTGCGATAAAACTCGTGGATTATCAGATGTTTGGGGATGATTTGGGGGGAAAATGACAGAAAAAGCGCTCACCATGTTGGAGTCTGCAGGAAAAGGACGAGTGAGTTTCCGGGAGGAAGTGATAAGGTGGAGGACGGAGGGCTGCGAGGGACAAAACACTACAACACCGAGATTTAAAATATCGCCTTTTAGTAAGTATGTTATAAATATGAAATAATGTTAAATGCTGCATATGACAGGCAAGACCATCAATATCCTTAAAATACAGTTAACACGGTATAGAAAGGTCCTATATTACACAGAATATACTTTTGTGAGCTTTAAGCCATGTTAAAATGCTGTTACTTCATCAAAAAACGTACCATGTTTAAGTAATTCTTTATTATTAGTCTGTCTGCATTTCTAAAAAAAAACTGAACATACTCAAATACACAGCCACCAAGGAAGGCGACAACCAGGGACATCAAAATTGCACAAACAACACATACACAGAGCGACATACAAGAATTAACTACATGAGAGGAAAAAAGTCAAATACACTTAAACCAAATAAAATAAAACACAAAATAAAATACTGTTAAGTTATAGATATTTCCTTCCATCTTGTGATGTTATTAGGTGATAGTCTTCAAGTTAGGAGCTATCTTTTACCTTTGGGTCAGTAGACATTAGCATTTCTAGAGCGGAAATGTTCCAAATGATTCTAGTGAAGGTGTATGGAGTTTAAAAACACGATGGAGCACTTCCAGCATTACCGCATGACATCACAAGGTGGAACAGAGTGTTTTCCTTCTGTGAGAAGAACTCATCTTAAATATGCAGGATTTCTGTGTAAAACGTGTGAATGAAACAAAACACAACTCCACATATGTTTGTGATGAGGAATCAACAACATATATTAGAAATATATAACTTTTAATATTTTTTTAATAACTCTTTCCAAGTTCGTGTTTTTAAATTTATTTTTTTCTTTTTAAGATAATTTAAAGTTTTACATGAAAACCTGTAACTTTCACATTTCAGTTAAATCAATAAGATCTCCGTGATAGACATGTGTAGTTTAGTGTTTTGCACAGAGCACCACAAGAGGGCAGTGTTTGACCATATAGGTTCTCTTTTCTACTTCTCTTTAGGGAAATTAAACTATTCAAAAAACAAATACTGTTTTTTATTTGTGGAATTATTTGATTTGTGTAATTGATGTAAATTGTTTGGAATGTTCGTGTGGAAGGCCTATATTATCCCTATTTGAGTGTTTTAAGATGACATTCTATAAGCCAATAATATTTAATATAGACGGGGGCAGCTAAGATAAATATTGATACTTATATATTGACATTGACAGTAATATTCAGTTAAAGTCTAAAATCTAACAAAGCCTCAGAGAGAGCAGTGCCCACAGCATCACAACCCCTGGAACAGTTGAGGACCATAGTTTCTTTGAATAGCAAAACAGACACAATAAATAATATGTTTAAGTTTTTATTTGGTTTGATCTGTAACAAAAATACAAGCAATTTGCAATAGTTTCTTATCATTTACACAGATGTACAAGAGAGAATTAAAACAGGATGAAAAGTGCATAAAATCATCTTTATATATACATTTTATTAATAGAAAAACATGGACACAATACAAAAAAGATAAAGAATAATAAGACACAGACAGATCAGTGCAGAGGTCTCTAGTGTCAAATGAAATATAGAAATTAAACACACAAGTCATGATTCACAATTATACAAAATTTGTGTATCCTGGGTTCTTAGTGTTTTCTAAAAGTACTACACAATACTACTCACAACTGAACGTGGGTTAAAGGGTCCATATTTCACAATTATAATGTTGTTTCCTCATCACAAACATACCTGGAGTTTTGTTTTGTGGTAATACAGGAAGTGCTCCACTGTGTTTTCAAACTCCATACAGCTTCATTAGAATAATTTGGATAATTTCAGCTCTAGAATTACCAATCTCTACTGAACTAAATGTAAATTGCAGCTTGAAAACTACCACTGCATGACATCACAAGGTGGAACAGAGCATTTTGAGCTTTGGAGAAAGGATTACCGAACAACGCAACACAACAAAACACAACTCCAGGTATGTTTTTGAGGAGGTAACAACATTATAACAAGGCTTAAAGTTTGTATAATATAGGACCTTTAAGAATTTGACAGGATAATTATTTTATTTAAGTAATTTTATCTCATTCAATTTGTGAAGAATAAAGTATAAAAGAAGCCATTATGATGCACTTTATGATAACACAATGAGCAACCAAGTCTGATTTTGTTATACCAGTATAGTATAGTATTAGTATAGTTTTAATTTTAGACCTGTATTAATGAAAAACACTGAAATCTAAACTGTAGTCCACACAGAGGAAGTGAAACGGCGCCCCCTGTGGACCGAGAAGGGTCAGTGTGGGAATGAGGCTCTGAAATGAGACTGAAGAAAAGCCAAAGAAAACAAGTCGAGAGGAGGGGCTGTTATTTCAACCCAGTTACCCCTTTACCCCACCGCACCAAGGAAACCAGGTCTGTGGAGCAAAAAGAAAGCTATAAAAATGATAATGATTTAAAATATTTGTCAACTTGTTCAAATATGATGTCATAATTTCAGATGGAAAAGTAGAGCCCTGTATAACTCTATGGGAGATATGATTTACAATTGCAGCTCTTCTGGTCAAAGTAAGCCCGCTGTGTATTGTCTGCATAAAGGGTTTTACTGTCTAATAATCAGGAAGTGTGTGTTAGCATGCTAGTTAACTTTACCGTGAAGAAAAACTCCACTCTGGTATCTGAAAATCGTGAAAAGCTCTCATAAACTCATCGTGATAAATAATTAGGATGCTCTGAATGCATGAGGAATCACTTTGGATCACTGCAAACTGTTTTTCATGTTTTTAAGACAGAAATAAAGGCTTAACATTTCTAGAGGAGTGTATGCCACTTTCTTGTCTCCATGGAGATGTAATTGCTTTGGTTGGAATTTTCCACAGTAAATATGAAGCAGGGTGCGTTTGACTTTATACTTTATAACTGGATCCACAAACATGCTGCCACTTTTGTCTTTAAATGTGCACTTTAAAACTTCTGATTGCCGATCTGTCACGTGCTTGTCTCCATAGGGAAAGTTCCATAGTGCAGCATTACAGATATGTTAGGTAAAATTGACTCCTGTGAGCTTTAAGTCATGTTATACTGTTGTTACTTCATCTAAAAAAGACCTGGAGTTATGTTTTGTTTCATTCACACATGTATGAGTAACACTTTGTTATTAGTCTGTCTGCACCTCCAAAGCTCAAAATGCTCAGTTCCACTTTATGATGTCATGAAGTGGTAATTTTCAATTTTAAAGCAAGATATTGGCAATTCCCGCTCTGAAATTATACAAATGATTCTAATGAAGGTGTTTGGAGATTTAAAACACAATGGAGATCTTCCTGTGTTACTACATGACATCACGAGGTGCAACAGAGAAGAACTGAGTCTGAATGTGCAGGATTTGTGTGTTAAACTTGTGTGAATGAAACAAAACACAACTCCAGGTCTGTTTGCGATGGGGAAACAACATTATAACATACAGAAAAAGTTTAGTACGGGCCCTTTAATCATAAACCAGGTCAACAAATCTGCAATCTGACAGCACAGTCCACTATAGAATTCTGTTTTATCTATGAAATCACAAGAACCATTTCTCCAATCTTCATGACTGGGAGATTGATTGGAGGAGGGGTGATGTTGCCAGTTAAAAATAGCCGTTTTAAGTCTGACAGAGAGCGAAAGTCGAGAGTTTAAATAAATGAACGTGGCTCAGGTTCCTCTGGTCATTAGAGTACACAGTGTCCCCAGTAGGAAACTTTAGTAACTTAAACTTGTCCTGTATTTACCAACTTTAGGAGTCAGTTCTTTTAGCATTTATTCACGGGACCTATTGATACTTTACACGAACAGCATGCTGGGGGTGTTCTGCCTATATGTTTATGACAGAATGTTCATCAGTTACCATGGAGACACAGTGCAGGCTTCACAAAAAGTTTTAAGATAGTGTGAAAGCTCAAAGAAAAACTACAAAACGGATTTAAACAGCACATTTCCAGGAGCTCGAGGTCATTATGAGCGTTGATGGTCTTGTTTAGGAGTTTGATTTTCAACAAATCAGCTCCTCGTCGTAGTTCCAGCTAAGCCTGTTCTTTCTAGTCAGATTGTGTTAAAATAAAACTGAGATTAAGTCTAGTTTGAGTAACAGAGCTTCAGACAGAGTAGTGCTTTCAGTTAGTTACACACCTCCAGGCAAGGTTAATGATGTCAGTCGCAAAGTATCAATAGTTTAAAGGTGCACTAGGTGACTTTTTGGTTGGCTTGGCTTGGTGAGCTGTCAGGAAAGTTCCACAGTATGACTTTAAACAGCTCTGCCTTGCATTTGTTCAATTACAGGTGGTTTTACAGCTCACAAATACCTAGAAAAACAGGCATTGTGGCTGTGAGCGGGGTTGCTTCTCCACAGATCTGACCTGTAACTTGGTCTGGTTTGGTCTCCATGATGATAGAAAGGGTTAATGCCATACTGTGAAACATTCCAGACAAAGCGAGCAAAGCAACATAATGAAATTCCTCTTTCTTTGCAGGCAATGTTCACTCAGAGAGAAAGTAAATCTAATCAGATGGGCACATGTGTGTTCAACAGGTCACAAGTAAACGAGTTAAATTATGGAACAGTTGATCCAATGAGCTAAAACAAGTGACTTCTAATTTTCAATTCAAAATAACTTTTTAAGAGAATAGCAATGGTAAAATATGTGAAAGAATAATGACAGTAAATAATTGTTTGCTATATTAATATTAATAATAGAATAATTGTTGACTTTTTATGATGGTGTAGTAAAATGTTGTATTAATGTCATATTCATTTTGAGATGAATGTCCATTATTGTGCTGTAGTTGGAGATAAAGGGAAGCACAATAAGCTTCAGCTTCTATAGTGTTTGATTTGATTGTTCTACAGACTCAATATGTTTTACTTTTTGACATCTGATTGAATATAATGTAGGTAGACCAGGGGTGTCAAATGTATGGCAAGGGGGCTGGATCTGGCCCTCCAAGACCTTTAATCTGGACCTCGGCTGATTTTCTACTAAAATATTTTAATAATATTTTCTACTAAAATATTGGTAATTTTCTGCGCTGTTTAGCATAGCAGCGTCTCCAGCACCTCTGTGCGTGGCCCCTCCCACCAGAGCTGCACAAATGAAGACTTGTCTCTTTCCAAACGCTCTTAAAGGACGATTGTTTTGACTGTTGACCATGACACCCTCATCAGAAAAATGACAAAAAATAAGAAAAGTGGACTATTTACATACAAGTTAATGTTAAAACATTGTGTTGAAATTGCATTTTTCTTAAAGTTTCAGGTTGTTCATAATATTATAATATTTTATAAAAGAAAGAGTTCATCAATTAAAAATGATTTTTGTAATAGATTTGTGTTTCTCTGCCCAAATATTTGAACTTATTGTTATTTTTGGGGTTTATATGCCATGAGTTTTCTGATCCGGCCCCTTTGGGATCAAAGTAGGTTGGATACGGCCCCCGAACCAAAATGACTTTGACACCCCTGATGTAGACTGTAATGAGTTAAACATTGACCAAATAAAAACACATAAACATAACATCTCCATGAAGAAAAGCATTTGACAGACCCTCCACCAGAAAAGTTTCACAATGCACCTTTAAACCAAAAACTGACGCTAAGTTCTATGTCTTTTCTGTCAGTATAAACAAACTAAAGTGAAATAATTTTTTTCCCAACAGCTTCAGAAAGTAGTGCCATTATTCAACCCCAGAGATGTGATTTCTTTTTTGAAAGGACTTTAAGACATAAGATTAACATTTACATTCCAAACAATCCAAACAAATAATGAGAAGCGTCAACATTTGTGAATCATACGTTTGAATATTTCTTTCAAAAACAGTCAATCTCCCATAAAGTTACACAGGCCCTATCTTGGTTTTAACCTCTGCAGATCTGAACACAGGGAGCAGCTTTTCACTCGAGTTTCTCAAACAGAGGAGAACCTTGTCTCACATGAGAGGAGATCAGATGACACAACCCAATGAGAAAGTGAGACTATTTGAATATTTAAAAGGGCTGTACCTGATTTTTTCCCCATGTATTTGAGCAAAATGTGTCTCTCCCCACTAAAGATACATTATATTAGCAGCTCTTGAGGTCAAAGTGAGTCTGCTGTGCTCTGTCTACATCTAATTATAAAGCGTTTTATTGTCCGAGAATCAGGTAGTGTGTGTTAGCATGCTAGTTGTTGTCTCCACTCTGCGTATAAACTCATGGCAGTGAATAATTAGGATGCTCTAAACAAACTAGTTTTGTTTTTCACGTTTTTAAGATGGTAAAAATCTGGTACAGCGCCTTTAAAGCTGCACTGTGTAACTTTTCTGGTGTAGGGCTTGCCACCAACTGCTTGTCTCCATGGAGATGCTATTGCTTTGTCCAGAATATTCCACAGCATGGCATTAAACATATCGATGTACATGGAAATAAAGAGGGGACGCAACCAGGCTAAGTTATGGGTCGGATCTGTGGAGTGGAGTGCATTTAGAAACATTCCAGGAAAAGCTAGAACGTCTCCATGGATACAAGCTGGTGGCAGAAACGTCCACCTGAAAAGTTACATAGGGAAGCTTTAACTAATTGAAAATCGTATCCAAAACTTGCATTTTTTTTAACCCCAAAGTCAATAACAGTTAAGCTATAGAATGACAGAAAAAGGTTGGTAGTTGAATCCCTGTTACCGTTGCATACGTTACATTGCATACTCCTTTTGTGTCAGTGAGCAAGACACTTTACCCTGTTTGCATGTGCGCGCCTGTACTTGATTAAAAAAGCTGTGACTGAGAAAAAAAAGAAGAATGCTTAAAGTGCAATGACAGGTTTTTGTGATTCTCTAAATTATTACTTAATTTGGGATATGGGATCATATCTGTTTTAAATATAAATTATAGTTTTACACCAACCACAAAGCAATATGTGAAGAAAAATTTAAAAATGTGTTGAAAATTAGAAGTAAAGAGTTTTAAAGCATAGATGACATCACACTAGGAAGGATTTTGTCCAAAAGTTTAACACAATTTACAAGTAAGAAGCACTTTTTATGCTACTTTAAACATTAATTAATCAAAATAAAGGTGTTTTCACATTTTTACTTGTCAAATAAAAATGTCTGTGTACTGTGGCCGAGTGTACAGGTAACAGTTGTGAAATTTCCTAGTGTGATGTCATTTTAACTAATTAAGAAGTCAAATTTAAACCTAGAAATGCACAGGACTCCCTAAAAACTCATCATTTTGTCCAGAGCAACTGCAGTAACCATGGCAACCCACTATTTATTTAACAGTATAAGGTCTAAAAAACTTTTTGACAAGGCAAATCTAATTTAGACCTAAAATTCTTCCAAAAACATATCCAGTTTTTCCTTTACTTTTTACTTTTCCGTTGGCGCCGTGTCTCTTGACAGGTGCATTTTGATATTAAAAGGAATCACAGTATGTATTACTCCGTGATGCTCCTGACTACAGTAGCTGTAATGCTGCAAGTGGTGCGGCTTTGTAGTTTACTAAAGTCGTACTAAGACACCCCGATAAATTCATATATAAGGCGCTCTGGATTATAAGGCGCGCAGTCGTGTTTTGATTAAATTAAAGGCTTTTAAGTGTGCCCTATAGTGCGGAAAATACGGTATTTGCAGAGATGAAATTATGAAAAGTATGATTTGATTGACATGTAACACGTCCCACCCCCGGACTTCATTCTGAGTCTTTAGGGAGTCCCAGAAATCCAAATGTTCGTAATGACCAAACTATGTAACTTGAGTATTCTAACCTGTCATATGCACTTTAAATCCAATGTGTTATTATTGGTCTACTGAGTTCAAATATTGCGTAACTTTCGTCCATTACCTTGAAACAGAAAATGCAACACAAAAATCACAAATATACTCACTATATAAGATAACTGAGTAATCAATTATGAAATAGTGATTTTGATATTAATAGAAAAGTCTTAATTGCTTTTATAAAACATAAGCTTCAACAGTGTCCTCCATACGATGCATTCAAGGACTCCACTGTGTTATCTGACCAGCCAGACCCACACGCGTTGACAAAACTTTACAAAGACAAGAGGTTCTGGAGATGTGTCCTGTCTCCCTGATTTCAGAGGGCGTGACTGACAGGTGGATTAACCAATCAGAGAGAAGCGTGGTCTGTTCTCGTCGAAAACAAACAGAAAAAATGCCGTAAAGGACTGAGAAACAGCGTGGATTTTCACAGAATCAACAGTCAAAGCCCAAAACTATGACTTATCTTCGGGAAAAGAAGTTGTTACTAGAATTTTGGAGAGATGTTTTCCGTAATTGAGAAACATGTGATACAAATGAGCAGCTGTGGTTGGACCATCTCAAATCTGGATGGAGGAAAATCAAGATCTATGGTCCGATTCCAGACTTTTCCTGATCTGAACAGAATGTAGAAGAGACTGGCTGGTCAGGCAAACTGAGACGAGAAGAGCCCAAACATCTGCCATGTCCGAAAAGCATCTTAGGACAAAACTGGAAGCTTGTAATTCCGATCTAAACTTTCCCCAAAAGTGTTTAAGTTTTTTTTGTTTTGTTTTTAGTTCCTCTCAGCATCCAGCAGGAACGTCGGACATGAAATCAAACTCATTCTGTCCCAGCCAAAGTTCTGGAAGTTCATTATTGCGATCCAACCCCAGCTCCACCACCAGGGACATGAGCACCTCCTCGTCCACTACGTCTGAATCTAGCGCCCCCTGGCTGTGGTTGACGGCACCTCCTCCGATGGGCGCGTTGGGTCCCATGTTCTGACCCACCGAGGAGAGCTGCGTCTGGGGGAAGCCTCTGTGCGACGCCGGGGTCTGGTGGAGGGTCTGCTGGAGGTTCTGGTGGAGGTTCTGGTAGTGAGAGTTGAGTTTCTGGAGGTGCATGCTGGCGATGAGGTGAGGTCCGTTCTGCAGGGAGAAGGCCGGGGGTTTGAGGTGGGATCCCGGCGTGGTCTGACCGGATGATGGGTTGAACGCGACGGAGGAGGGGGAGGCCTTGGCGGAGGTCTGGAAGTGAAGGAGGGAGGACAGGGGAGAGGAGGAGAGAGGAGAGGAGGAGAGAGGAGGCGAGCTGAGGTCCTTCATGGTGGAGCAGGGCAGCAGCAGTGAGGTCATCACAAAGAGACCTGAGATACAGAGAGAGAGAGTTAAACACCGGTCACAATACGCTCTATTCACGCTTACGCCACAAACCAGTTACAGGTGATACTTTATGTTATTAGGTTCTTTTTTCAGACCAAGAGCTTGTTTTCATACCTGACAGTTTCGACTGCTCACTAGGGGTCTTCCTCAGAGTGGTCACATGATGTTGCTGTTGTCTGGTCAGCTGATTTAAACAGGTTTTGGCGCTGTCTTCCTACCGGTGGAGGCAGAATAACAGCGGCATCTGCAGTGCGACTTCTTCAGGACAGTATCCCAGGTGTGTGAGAGTAAAAAAGCCCCTCGTCCCGGTTTATAGTCCCGTGGGCACATTTCCGTATTTCGATTGCCTCTTTAATCCTCTGTCCCAACGATGTTCGCTCCGTCCCAGTCCATAATGTGCTTCTCTCTTTTACAATGGTCAGAGATGGCCGATTTGAGTTGTTCCTGTTCTGCTTATTGTTTTGTTGCTCGTGTGCACGCCTTCGCTGTTTCCTTCTCGCATTCTGTCCCATGTGCCTTTTTTCGTGTACTGAACGCCCTCCCTGTTTCCCCGATGTATGTTTTGTTGCAGGACATGCAGGGTATTTCAAATATGACATTACATTTATGCTCCGGTTCTATTTTGTCTTTGGACGAGTAATTGTCTTGAGTTTTCTGTGCAGTTTCACTGGTGTGTTGATATTGTGTTTTTTAATATTAATGTTACCATGGGGGCTTTTTTACTCTCACACACCTGGGATACTGTCCTGAGGAAGTGGGACTGCAGATGGCGCTGTCGTCCTGCCTCCACCAGTAGGAAGATGGCGCCAAAACCTGTTTAAATCAGCTGACCAGACACGTCACAACAACATCACGTGACCACTCTGAGGAAGACGCTAGTGAGCAGTCGAAACTGTCAGGTATGAAAACAAACTCTTGGTCTGAAAAAAGAACCTAATAACATAAAATATCGGATGACCAAATGAACCTCATTGGGCCAGTTACAGGTGACTGTTTGGGCCAGCAGTACCCTCACTGATGTGGGACACCTCAGAAATGATGTTCGTCTCACAGTCACCAACCTCGGCATCACCTTAGACAGTGATTTTAAGTTTGACAAGCAGATCAATGGCATTTTAAAATAAAGTCTTTATCACTTGTGGCTTTTATCTAAAGTTAAACCTTTTTAATCTTTTAAACTTTTTGAACAAGTTATGCACGTTTTTATTTCATCACACCTGGACTACTGTAAAGCACTTTATTCCGGCATCTCACAAAACGCACTTTATCGACTACAGTTAGTCCAAAACTCTGCAGCGTGACTTTTAACAGGTACAAAAAGAGAGAGAGCACATTACCCCAATCCTTGCATCTTTGCACTTTGCAAGAGCCTAATGTAAGTCAATTGGAGCCAGAGTCAGAAGGAGCCAGAAGAGCCTCCTGGCCAACTTCCTAGTGCGGAAGTTGAGTGAGTAAGTAAGTAAGTCCCCATTTATATAGCTCTTTTCACAGACATTTTTGTCACAAAGACGCTTTACAGAGCATTACATTTAGCATATATTATTCATTCACTCTATACCCGGTGATGGTAAGCTACTGTTGTAGCCACAGCTGCCCTGGAGCAGACTGACAGAGGCGCGGCTGCCATGCCAATCAGCGCCAACGGTCCTTCCGACCACCACCATCAATCACACACACACCACTTTCATACTAGGCAATGTGGGTGAACTGTCTAGTCACTAGCACCAGTGCCCTGGGCATGTTCATTGACTGATTGTATTTAATTGACCTTGACTATTAACTGTTCTTGGAGACCTATGTAGCATGTTTTGGGATGAGGTGAGTTGTTGAGGTGATTCTATGTGTAGGATGAAAGGATACTACTGTTATTTGTAAGGTGCATTGTGTAACTTCTGGTGGAGGATCCATCACCTGCTTGTTTCTATGGAGATGTCATTGCTCTGCTTGGAATGTTCCACAATAGTGTTCCGTTTATGTTCAGCTAATCAACTATTACAACCATACCTCAGTTTTCATCATTTCAGCACTGATACACAACTCCGAGCGCACTGGGTACATTTAGAAGAAATGAGACGCCAAATCCACGATGATTCCAAACAGCACATACGTATGCAGTCTTCATTTACCGCTGATCATATTTACTTCACTTCAGTGGGTTTTATCACAGTCGGTCGGTGAGCCCAGTGTCGGGAACTACACCAGAATTTGTCTTCGCATGTTTGCAAACACCTTCCTGGTTTGTGAAGTAAGAGTGATTAGAGTGAAACTACTTTTGAAGCTCTGAATTTATTACTGTGTATATTTTCAATGCATTCTCAGTATTTTCTGAAAGAATAAAGGATAGTGATTAAATGTATTTACTGTAAATGGTCACAGGACTACAGATGGTTATGTATAAGAAAAGAGAAGACACCACCCAGAGTTTTCTCAAATAAAAGGGATGTAAAGTGATTTCAATTTAACCCAGGACTCAGATTTTTGGTACACATCGTCTTAAGGGTCTCTAGTAATGAGAAATGCATTTGAAAATACTCTGCTTTATTTTGGTCTAAGTGGAGGATGGAAAACAATTTGGTAGTCACAATTGTTATTTCCATGGAGGCAAGCAAAAAGCTGGTCCTCTAGAACAGACCTGGGGATTGTAGAGCTCCTGGGCCACATATGGTCCTTTGGTTGACTCTGACCGGCCCATTTAAGCTCATTTGGAATTACATAATAAACATATTAAGCTGCACTGCTTTTATTTTAGAGGTGTTTTTAATGACATTTTTTGTAAGGCAGTCTCACTTTTTCATTGCTTAGGCTACATTCAGACTGCAGGACTTAATGCTCAATTCCGATTTTTTTGTGAAATCCGATGTTTTCTGCAAGGTCGTTCACATTTCCAATTAAATGCGACTTGTATGTGACTCCAGTGTGAACAGTAAACGACCCGAAAGTGTCCCGCATGTGCACTGGAGGACACAATGACGTCAACCGCAGCGAGCGTGCTCTGTGTTTACGGAAGTTGTCCAAACATGGACATGAGCATTGAGCACCTGGAGATTTTAAACTTTCTCTTGTACCGGAGCCAGAACATGAACAACTTACTTGTTTTAAGGAGGAGATTGAGAAGGAGAAGGACGTGGCGTTTTGTGGGACAGTCCATTGAAAAGAACGTGTGGATGTGGAGACGGAGCCAAGAGTGGTGAGTGGTGATGTGCTTCGCTTCAGTGACACGGAGTTCATTAACAATTTTCAACTACTTCAGAGCAGAATAGTGACGTTTGTGGCTTGTTGATAACGTGTAGGTGGGATGAATGTGCTTTGGCCGTTCACACTGAAGTCGCATGTCAAAAGATCGGATATATATCAGTTACAGGAGCACATATCCAAGTGGCCTGGGTCGCATTTGAAAAAAATCGGATTTGGGTCACTTCAGGCTGCAGTCTGAACGTAGCCTTATTAGTCAAAACCAGTCTTACCAGCTTGTCAAAAGAAAGATATCTACTGCTTTCTTACAAATAAATACAAATAAAATTATACAGAATTGAGTTAAGCATTTTGGCTCAGCCCTCCACAATATTTTCTGTTTCTCATGTGGCCCCATGGAAAAAATAATCGCCCACCCCTGCTCTGGAAGTTACATAGTGCACCTTTAAAATGCTATACATGCCAGTCTGGTGTAAACCACATCCTCAGCTTATCCATTGCCCATGCAAAATATAATAGCCACAGATGTAAATGGTAAAGAAAACAACACACATGCTTGAGTTTATCACAGAAATGGACAGATATATAAGTTATACGAGCAAAAGGGATGATGAAAACTTCAAAACTACCTCATGAACAATATAAACCTTCCTCTCGCTCCCCTTTGTCTTTCTTTTAATGTGTTTTGTTTTTATTTATCTTTGTTTACTGAGTCTGGATGACATTTGTTTACCTGTTTTCTTTGTTGTAATTATGTTATGTTGCAGAATGTATGGTTACTGCTATTATTTAAAGGTGCACTGTGTAACTTTTCTGGTGGAGGGTCTGTCACCTGCTTGTTTCCCATTGCTCTGCCTGGAATGTTCCCCAGTGTGACATTAAACAGCTTGACCTTACACTTATTCAATTACAGGTGGTTTTATAGATCAAAAATATCTACAAAAACAGGCATTCTGACTGTGAGCGGGGTTGCCTTTCCACAGAGCTGACCTGTAACTCAATCTGGTTTGGTCTCTATGAAGATAGAAAAGTTTAGTACCACAGACTTTCGACTTCAGCTCCTGAGTCATAAAACTTCCAGACACAGCATTGATTTAAGAGGTCACGCGGTCACGCTTTAGTCACTCATGGTTTCGTTTACAAACATTAGAACATTAGATCCCTCACGGTGATCTGATCTATAGTCACATCTAAAGAGACTGAAATCTGAACTTTAAACTAATGCGAGACTCTTGTGTATTTCAGAAAATGTTTGTAGAGGTCTAAAATCTGTGTATCATTCATTCATTTGTTTTTCAAAAAAAAAAAAAGACAAAACATCTATTTTCTTCATGATTTATGTCCAAAACCAAAATAACTATTTGTTTTTTCTGTTTTCAATTTGTGTTTAAATGAATAAGGGATTCCGTTTCCATGACTTAAACTGCAATACTGGACTTTTGCGCCACATACAGACTAAACCCGGACTAAACCAGGATTAAAACAGGATTAAACCAGGACTAAAGCAGGACTAAAACAGGTCTAAACCAGGACTAAACCAGGACTAAAACAGGACTAAACCAGGACTAAAACAGGACTAAAAAAGGACGAGTGTCGGGACAGGCCTGGAGGTGCACCCGCATTGACTGTCGGGTGATCAGGACTGAGACCAGGACTGAGACCAGAACTGAGACTGAGACCAGACCAGGACTGAGACCGGAACCAGACCAGGACCAGACTAAGAATGAGATCGGGACTAGAGCAGGACTGAGACCAGGACCAGACTAGGACTGAGACCGGGACCAGACTAGGATTGAGATCAGGACCAGACCAGGATCAGACCGGGACCAGACCAGGACCAGACCAGGACTGAGACCAGGACCAGACTAGGACTGAGACCAGGACCAGACCAGGACTGAGACTGAGACCAGACTAGGATTGAGATCAGGACCAGACCAGGATCAGACCGGGACCAGACCAGGACTGAGACCAGGACCAGACCAGAACTGAGACCGGGACTGAGACCAGGACTGAGACTGAGACCAGACCAGGGCTGAGACCGGAACCAGACCAGGACCAGACTAAGAATGAGACTGGGACTAGACCAGGATTGAGACCAGGACCACACCAGGACTGAGACTGAGACCAGACCAGGACTGAGACTGAGACCAAACGAGGACTGAGACCGAGACCAGACCAGCACTGAGGCCGAGACCAGACCAGGAGTGAGACCGGGACTGAGACCGGGACCAGACCAGGATGAGACCGGAAAAGTCCTGGTTTAGTCCTGGTATAGACCTGGTTCAGTCCTGTTTTAGTCCTGGTTCAGTCCTGTTTCAGTCCTTTTCATTTCTTATTTTTGGTTTTATTTTGAAAAACGAATGAATGAATGATACACGGATTGTCTAAGACCACATAGAGACACAGGGACATCATTTGATACAGTACATCTGACACGGGGCATCTGACACGGACATTGAGAGGAGAGGAGACACAAAGAGGACAGTAGATTGTCTTAAAGCCGTCCTGTGTGGGTCTCTTGTTGTCTCTTGTCTTAAATGTCCTATATTACACTTTAATGGCCTGTATGTTTAGTTTTGTTTGTGTGCAAAGATCTGGGCCAAAACCTCAAAAGACACAAGCTCAAATCCCAAGGAGGCGACAAAAATATCCTAAAGACGGACATCTGAATCATTTTTCCAGAGCGGTTTTGGACGATGCCGTGTGAACATTTGGACCAGTGCCTTCGTTTTTACAGTTAATGCTTTTATGAGCTCGTTAAATTGCACTTTTGGCTCGGTTTTATAATTGGCCGCTGTTACAGATTCTCTAAGATTTATTTTAATTACAAAAACACTTAAATCCTCTGCACTGCATTTCAGCTTATTTGTTTTGACACGTCCAGAAGTGAAGCTCGTCTTTGCCAAAATAAAGGAAATGAACAGATTCCAATGGTTTTCTTGGCAACAAATTCACAATTAACAAGGAGAGTGAATTCAACCTTTAGTCCAAGCAACATAGATCACTTTAAAGAGCCCATGTTACGCTGTTTTCTGATCTATGTTCTGATGTTGTTTCCTCATCACAAACACATCCAGAGTTGTGTTTTGTTTCATTCACGTGTTTAACACATATTTAGGAGTGTTCTTCTCAATCAGAAAACACTTATGATGTTATGTGGTAATACAAGAAGTGCTCCACTGTGTTTTTAAACGCCTTCACTAAAATCATTTGGATACTTGCCAATCTTTACTAAAGGTTAAAGGAGCTGTTTACTTGAAAACTACCGCTTCATGACATCACAAGGTGGAAGAGAGTATTTTGAGCTTTAATAATAAAGGATTGCTCAAACATGTGTGAATGAAACAAAACTCAACTCTATCTAACCAGTCTAGAAACTTCTTGGTCCATACCATCTATGAATCTGTCACTGGGCTTAACCCTGGTTTTAAGTCCTGGTTCAGTTCAGGTTTAGTTCTGGTTTAGTTCTTTGTTAAGTCCTGGTTTAGTCCTGTTTAGTCCTGCTTTAATCCTGGTTTAGACCTGCTAAAGTCCTGGTAAAGTTCTGGTAAATTCCAGGTTTTGACCTGCTTTAGTCCTGATTTTGATTGCTAAAGGATGGGTTTATTCCTGATATAGTCCCTGGTTTAGTCCCTGGTTTAGTCCTGGTTTAGGCCTGGTTCAGTTCTGGTTTAGTCCTGGTTTAGTTCTGGTTTAGTCCCTGGTTTGGTCCAGCTTTAGTCCCTGGTTTAGTCCCTGGTTTAGTCCTGGTTTAGTTCTGGTTTGGTCCAGCTTTAGTCCCTGGTTTGGTCCAGCTTTAGTCTCTGGTTTAGTCCCTGGTTTAGTCCTTGTCTTAGTCCTGGTTTATTCTTGGTTTAGTTCTGATTTAGTCCCTGGTTTAGTCCTGGTTTAATCCCGGTTTAGTTCTGTTTTAGTCCTGCTTTCATTAGCAGCAAAATTTAACAACAAAATGAAGAAACTTGTTAAAAGTTCATAGTTTTGAATTCTGTACAACTGTCTGAGAGTAAAATAAACCCTGTATCACTGAACATAACATTTATTTAAGACTGATGGCCTATTTCAGTTTATTCTAATACAAATTTATTTATTATTATTATTATTATTATTATTATTATTATTATTATTCATGTAGGTTATATTTGGTGTTTTTTTTTACTGGTTATTCTTATACTTAACTGTTTCAACACTGCAATGTCACCACCACGGGACAAATGTCTTTAGTATTTAAACAACAATGCATAGGCTTATATTAGACTGACCTATTACAGCTGGCTAAAGAAATGAGCCTATAGCGCACCACAAGTTACATAAGAGAGGAAATATTTGTGGCTAAAAGGGAAATTAATGAAAAAGACAGAAAATGCATTGAAACATCACCGTTAAAATCAATTCAAAAGTATGAGTTTTGATTACTTTCTAATTTCACGCATCTTTAAATGTTAAACTTGTGTGGAGCGAAGCGAAAAGAACTTGACCTGGTTTTAATGTTATGTAAACAGTGAAGTCAGCGCACAGAGGAGAGACGAGGGGCTCCGAGGTTGTTCCGAGACGTTTGCGCGAGAAATAAAATCCTTAAAAGTTCAAAATGCGGTGAAATTTACAGCTAAAATCACTTTAAATGCATCGACTCACCTTATGCACGGAGTTTGTTGTTGTTTAGCAGCTCAGAAGAAAATGTTCGGATATAAACGTGGATGGAAAATGGACAAATCCACAGGTGATGCCCAAAAACATCCAAGTTTACGCGTAAAAGTCCGTGCGTAAAGTCTGTGCGTAAAAAGCGCGGTTCGCCGGTTTAATGAGAATGGAGAGAGTTTGGAGTTGCTGGTTCAGGCAGAGCTCCGAGTCGGACGAAAAGCTGCCGAAAGAGAGGAGAGCGGAGGAGACTGCGCCGCTGAACAGAGCCAAAGAGTGAATAAAAAGTACAGCTCCGAGTCTCTCCAAGTGAAGAGGGAGAGAGAAAGACAGAAAGAGAGAAAGAGAGAGGCGGGAAACACGGACTGGAGTCTGGAGAAGTGGGACTGGGGCTGGAATCGTAAAAAGGACTTGGTAGCTTTTCCCAAATCTAGAATGCAGTGATGTCATACTTCCAGATGGGCCCAAAGAGGCAGTTGATACTTTGCAGCTGATGCCATCAACTTTCCCTGGGGGTGTGATGCTAACTGGAGGCACTGCTCTGTCTGATACAGAGGTGGAACCAAGTCTTTGTTTTGCAAGTCTCAAGTAAGTCTCAAGTCTTTGGCCTCAAGTTCCAAGTCAAATACAGGCAAGTCCAAGTCGATTCTGAAGTCACCGATCCATAAGTCTAAGTCAAGTCCAAGTCGTCTGCTTTGAGCTTCGAGTCATTTCAAGTTTTTAAACCAAAGTACCAAATATATCTTAGATTTTTGCAATTTATATGATTTTTAAGATAAACTGTGCTTAAAACAATCATGGTATATTTATTCATGAGTATTTATAGAGTATATAAAAGTTGTAGATATGAATTATTATTATTATTTTTTCTTTTTAAATGCCTTGAGAAAATCTTAGTGTGAATCATTTTGGTCAGAATAGAAAGACTTCAAGTGTTTCTCAAGTTTTCTCAAGTTACAGGCCTCAACGCCGAGTTAAGTCTCAAGGCACTGACCTTGAAGTCCAAGTCAAGTCCCAAGTAGGGATGTCCCGATCACATTTTTTTTGCCCCTGAGGCCGAGTCTGAGTCATTTGATTTTGAATATCTGCCGATGCCGAGTCCCAGTCCGATATTTCTATAAAACATTATCAAATGAACTAAGAGCAAAGAATAAGATCCAGGATGTATCAAATGTCCAAAACTTAGATTTTATTAACTTTTCTAACCATTCACCATCATTGTTGAAAATCTTGACTTTTCACAGTCTGGTCTTGGAATGTGTAACTTAGTAAACTTAATGAACTGGACAAAACAGGAACCAGACCAGAATCAGATCAAACCTGAGACTCTGCACAATCTACACTTTGTACATTTGATATTATATGTTTGCATGTGCATTTAGGCTCGTCTATGAAATCCAAATAATACAAGATCTTACCAAATAAAAACCCTCCCATTCCCCCGCAAAGCCACCACATCCACAAACCCACCGTGGAGTTTCCTGATTCTGTCCTGGTTTAGTTCTATGTCTAGTCCTTGTTCAGTCCTGGTTTTGTCCAAAGTATAGTCCTGGTTCAGTCTTGTTTTAGTCCAAGGTCTAGTCCTGGTTTAGCCCAAGGTCTAGTTTTGGTTTAGTCCAAGTCCTGATCTTGGCCTGGTTTATTCCTGGTTTAGTCCTGTTTAGTGTAGTTCTAGTTCAGTCCTGGTTCACTCATGTTTTAGTCCAAGGTCTAGTCCTGATTTAGTCCAGCGTCTAGTCCTTGTTCAGTCCTGGTTTTGTCCAAGGAATAGTCCTGGTTCAGTCCTGGTTTAGTCTTGTTTTAGTCCAAGGTCTAGTCTTGGTTTAGTCCAAGGTCTAGTGTTGGTTTAGTCCAACGTCTAGTCCTTGTTCAGTCCTGAGTTTTGTCCAAGGTATAGTCCTGGATCAGTCTTGTTTTAGTCCAAGGTCTAGTCCTGGTTTAGTCCAAGGTCTAGTCCTGGTTCAGTCTTGCTTTAGTCCTGGTTTAGTTTTGGTTCAGTCCTGGTTTTGTCCAAGGTCTGTCCCTATTTTAGTCCAAGGTCTAGTCCTGGTTTAGTCCTAGTTCAGTCCTGGTTTTGTCCTGTTTTAGACCAAGGTTTAGTCCTGGTTTAGTCCTGGTTCAGTCCTGGTTTTGTCCAAGGTATAGTCCTGGTTCAGTCTTGTTTTAGTCCAAGGTCTAGTCCTGGTTCAGTCTTGTTTTAGTCCTGGTTTAGTTTTGGTTCAGTCCTGGTTTTGTCCAAGGTATGTCCCTATTTTAGTCCAAGGTCTAGTCCTGGTTTAGTCCTAGTTCAGTCCTGGTTTTGTCCTGTTTTAGTCCAAGGTTTAGTCCTTGTTCAGTCCTGGTTTTGTCCAAGGTATAGTCCTGGTTCAGTCTTGTTTTAGTCCAAGGTCTAGTCCTGGTTCAGTCTTGTTTTAGTCCTGGTTTAGTTTTGGTTCAGTCCTGGTTTAGTCCAAGGTCTATCCCCGTTTTAGTCCACGGTCTAGTCCTGATTTAGTCCAGCGTCTAGTCTTTGTTCAGTCCTGGTTTTGTCCAATGTCTAGTCCTGGTTCAGTCCTGGTCTAGTCCTGGTTCAGTCCTGGTCTAGTCCTGGTTCAGTCTGGTCTAGTCCTGGTTCAGTCCTGGTCTAGTTCTGGTTCAGTCTAGGTCTAGTCCTGGTTTTCCCTCGGTCCGGGGCAGATGTGGCTCATTGAAGGAAACAGAAGAAGTGAATCTGTGAATAATTAGTTTTAACTTGACCCTGGTTCTGTTTCTGTCTGTAAGAAAACTCCATAAGAAGCTCAAACGCACTCAACAGATACTTGAAACACACTGTTCCACCTGGTGATGTCATGAGGTAATACAGGAAATGCTCCACCGTGTTTTTAAACTCCATACACCATCACTAGAATCTACTGAACAAACAAGAAGGTTCCAGGTTCAATTCTCAGGCTTTTCCCTTCAACCCAAAACATGCACAATAAATACAAACATGAAGTGACGTGAAGTATATACTGCAAGTAAGAGTACTGCTACTTCAGTAAATATATGACTCAAGTAGGAGTAAAAGTATGCTGCTGGGAAAGTACTCTGAAAAAATACAATTACACCTTTAGAGAGAAGAGAGAGAGAGAGAGAGAGAGAGAGAGAGAGAGAGAGAGAGAGAGAGAGAGAGAGAGAGAGAGAGAGAGAGAGAGAGAGAGAGAGAGAAGAGAGAGAGAGAAGAGAGAGAAGAGAGAGAGAGAGAGAGAGAGAGAGAGAGAGAGAGAGAGAGAGAGAGAGAGAGAGAGAGAGAGAGAGAGAGCAGAGAAGAGAGAGAGAGAGAAGAGAGGGAGAGAAGAGAGAGAGTGATAAAGACAAGAGAGAGTGAGGTAGGGAGAGGGAGAAGAGAGCGAGGGAGAGATAAAGAGAGAAGAGAGGGAGGGAGGGAGGGAGGGAGAGAGAGAGAGATAAAGAGAGAAGAGAGGGTGGTAGGGAGAGAGAGAGAGAAGAGAGGGAGAGAGAAAGAGAGAGAGAGAAGAGAGGGTGGTAGGGAGAGAGAGAGAGGGAAGGCGCGAGAGAAGAGGGAAGAGGAGGGAGAGAGAGAAGAAAGGGAAGGAGAGAGGGGTAGAGAGAGATAGAGAGTGAAGAGAGGGAGGTAGGAAGAGAGAGAAGAGAGGGAGGGAGGGAGAGAGAGAAGAGAGGGAGGGAAAGAGAGCGAGAGAGAGATAAAGAGAGAAGAGAGGGAAGAGAGAGAGAAAAGAGGGAGGGAGCGAGAGAGAAGAGGGGAGAGGAGGGAGAGAGAGAGAGAAGAAAGAGAAGGATAGAGAGAGAGGGAGAGAGATAGAGAGTGAAGAGAAGGAGGTAGGGAGAGAGATAAGAGGAGAGAAAGGGAGAGAGATAAAGGAGAGAAAGAGGGGAAAGGAGGGAGAGATAGAAGAAAGAAAGAGGGGAGAGGACGGAGAGACAGAGGAGAAAAAGAGGGCAGAGAAGGGAGAGAAAGCGGGGAGAGGAGGAGAGAGAGAGGGGAGAGAAAGAGGGGAGAGGAGGGAGAGGGATAAAAAAGAGATAGAGGAGAGGAAGAGGACGGGGAGATTGAGGAGAGGGAGAGGAGAGAAGGAGGGGAGGGAAAGAGAGAGGAGAGGGAGAGCAGGGGGAAGAGAGAGAGAAGAGAGTGATGAGGAGGAGAGGAAGAAAAGAGAGATAGAGGAGAGGAAGAGGAGGAGAGAGAAGGAGAGGGGGATGAGAGGGAGATACAGATCCACGCGCCCGACTCTTTTCTTCCGTTGGCTGCGATGAAAAGACGACATCTGTCTCTTTTCTCTCTCTTTTGTGCCTCTCTCTCTCTCCTCACACTCCTCCTTTTGTTTCTCTCCTTTGGGAAAAAAACACGTTATGCTAATTTAGAGAAAAAAAACATCAAATTTACACTTTTTCATTTGGATTTGAGCGCGAACCAGGAACGGACAGAGACCAGACAAACGACAAATAATGGAGAGATTAAAAGAGGGAAAGAGGGAGAGGTGTGTAACGGATTTGAGACAGATGGAACTTCAATATTTATGCGATTTTAATATAAATTTCTTGTCAAATTATTCAGGAAAAACAAATAATTCTTGAAAAACATGCATTCTTACTTTGCTTGCCTCTCCACAGATATGAGCTGTGACTTGACCTCACAACCTGCTTGATTTTATGTTCCACAGTAAAGCATTAAACTTATCTTTCTTGTATTTAGGTGTTTCTGTTGGTCTAAAACACTTTGAAAATCTGGGTCTGGTGCTTGTAACCATGGTAACGGACAAACTTTGGAACATTCTACACAGATATACAAGTTTAATGCCATATTGTGGAACATTCATGGCAAAGCAATACCAAAGCAAGTTGCACGATGCATCTTTAAAACTTGTGAACTGGATCTTGACTTTAATGGCTATGAGAGAAAGTAACAACAACTAGCATGCAATTGCACTTCCTGACTATTTGTCATAATGTTGTTTCCTCATCACAAACAGACCTGGAGTTGAGTTTTGTTTTATTCACATGTTTAACACATAAATATTTAGGCTGAGTTCTTCTCTCAAACAGAAAACACACTGTTCCACCTTGTGATGTCATGTGGTGATACAGGAAGTGCTCCACTGTGTTTTTAAACTCTATACACCTTCACTAGAATCATTTTCTGCCCTGGAAATGCCAATCTCTCACTGAACTAAAGGTAAAAGGAGATGTTACAAGGGACAGTCGGGAATTATGGACACCTCTTTCCTAGTGAGCCAGAGTGTTGGAGACATGTGGAGAAACTTTTTTAAATATTCCATCCAGTCCTTGTATTTGCAGAGGTCGCTGGTGCTAGGCTAGTGCATGTCAATGGCCATAGATAGCCTGTCACTAAAAACAGTCTTACCCACTCCACAAAACACCCAAAGCAAATCTGTTATTACACCAGACTGTTGATGTAAATGTTTGTGTCGATAGAATAATTTTAGAAGTAAAACCAGCCTTGCATTTGAAGAATTTATGTCTGAGCAGCAGCAGCGAGTTGAATTTCCTGATAGAAAGCTCAGCAGCGGCGGACTGATATATGAGAAAATAGTCCCTCAACATGCGATGATCCATGTGATGCAAGGTTCGTTTTATTTCAAACATTATTCTATCAACACAGACATTTACATCAACAGTCTGGTGTAATAATAGATTTGTTTCGGGTGTTTTGTGGAGTGGGTAAGACTGTTTTTAGTGGCAGGAGAACTATGGCCATTGACATGCACTAGCCTAGCACCAGCGACCTCTGCAAATACAACGACTGGATGAAATATTTTTTAAAGTGTCTCCACACGTCTCCAACACTCTGGCTCACTAGGAAATTAGGTCTTATGTTCAAAATTCAAGACTGTCCCTTTAATTTGAAAACTATTACTTCATGACATCACATTTTGAGCTTTGGAGATATAAACAGACTAATAGTTACTCAAACCTGTGTGAATGAAACAATGGTATATTTTTGGTCAGGTATCAACATTATTACTTGACAGAGAGGTCTCAAAAGTCAGCTTCTTGTAATATAGGACCTTTAAATACATGGGGGAAAAATATGGAACAGACCCTTTAAAAGACTAAATAACAAAGTTGTCAGAAAGTGATAAATTGTTTTCTTAAATAGTTCCGATGATGTAAAACTGCCCCTGTCTGTGCGTGTTATGTAACTTGCAGATTTGGGAGTTCTGTTTTTTCACTTAAACCTTTGTGTCTGTTTAAAATCTACAAACTCAGAGGGAAAAAAAACAGATTCACACACAGACACGGAGCACATGGAGTTTGGATTTGGCACAGAGACGGAAAACTGTGAAGTACATGGAAATTGTGAGCTTAAGACAAGATATAGTCTTGTGGTTTTGTTTTGTGGTTTTAGATTACACAAAAATGACTCTTGTGAGCTTTAAGTCATGTTATAATGTTATTACCTCATCAAAAACATATCTAGAGTAGTGTTTCATTGCATTCACAGTCTGTTTAAATCTCCAAAGCTCAAAAGGTTCTGTTCCAACTTGTGATGTCATGAAGCAGACGTTTTCAAGTTACCAGCTGTACCTTTTACCTTTAGTTCAGTAGAGTTCGGCAATTCCAGAGGCTTAAATTATCCACATGATTCTAGTGAACGTATATAGAGTTTGAAAACACAGTGGAGCACTTCTTGTATTACCACATTACATCACAAGGTGGAACAGAGCGTTTAAGAGGAGAACACAGTCTAAATATGCAGGATTTGTGTGTTCAACATGTGTGAATGAAACAAAACACAATTCCGGGTCTGTTTGTGATGAGGAAACAACATTAGAACATAGAAAATCGTGTATATTTTTGTGGTGAGATAATTCATTTTTCGTGTAAACAGATTATTTGTCTAACGCTAAAATTATGGCCTCACAACAAGAAGGTTCTAGGTCAAGGGTGGGCAAACTACAGCCCGGGGACCATATGCCAGCTCTTTAATCTTTTTGATTTGACCTGTTGATCTTGAATAATGATGATAATAACGATAATTTTCAGAGTTTTAAAAGTAATTTCAGTAAATAGTAAATACCGTGGGACTTGAAAGACAGATATTTTGTTGTAATGCTTTGTGGTGATTTTCAATGATGAGATATTTCAATAACATGGGGTCTGTTTTCTACATATCCCATGTTATGTTTTCTCTCTGGATTATCAAACACTCCACCCATCTGCTCCAGGTCCGGCCTTTCCGTCAAATTTTACAACCCTTTGTGGCCCACGAGTCACAAAGTTTGCCCACCCCGGTTCCAGGTTCAGTTTCCAGGCCTTTCTCCTTCATTCCAAAACATGCACATTTATAGGTCAAATCCTCCAGCTAAGTTAGTCCTGACCAAGACCAGGAGATGGTCCCTCTGCTCCTGACAGATTTAACCCAGACATGAACCCGGATATGTCATTGCTCTGCCCGGAATCGTCCACAGTGTGACATTAAACAGCTCTATCTTACAGGTGGTTTTATAGCTCAGAAATACCTACAAAAAACAACGTTCTGGCTGTGAGCGGGGTCGCCTCTCCACAGATCTGACCTGTAACTTGATTTGATCTCCATGAAGATAGAAAGGTTTAATGCCATACTGTAAAACATTCCAGACAAAGCAATAACATCTCCATGGAGAAAAGCGTTTGATGGATGTTTTTGGGAAACTTGAAAATCCCATAATATTTAGTCAATTTTTAAAGCTACTCTGTAACTTTACTGGCAGAAGGCATTTCCTAGTGAGCCAGAGTGTTGGAGACGTGTGGAGACACTTTTTAAAATATTCCATTCAGTCCTTGTATTTGCAGAGGTCACTGGTGCTAGGCTAGTGCATGTCTATGGCCATAGTTAGCCTGCCACTAAAAACAGTCTTACCCACTCGACAAAACACCCAAAGCAAATCTGTTATTACACCAGAGTGTCGATGTGAATGTTTGTGTCGATAGAATAATTTTAGAAGTAAAACCAACCTTGCGTTTGAAGGATTTCTGTCTGAGCAACAGCAGCGTGTTGTACTTCCTGATAGAAAGCTTGGCAGCGGCGGACTGATCTTTGAGAAAACAGTCCCTCAACATGCGACGATTCCAGACAAAGCAATAACATCTCCATGGAGAAAAGCATTTGACAGACCCAAATGCAATATTTTTGTCATTCTACTTACATTCACTTCAAATTCTAAATCAGATGGTGCAGATACTCGAGTAGTAGTTTCCCCAATTATGTTTTCTTTTACTCCTTTTTTTAAACTTTCTTTTAACAAATTTGTACTTCTTGAGTATTATCTTGAAGTGACAGAGCCATACTTTGAGAATCACTGTAATTATACCATACCTAATGAGAAGAATGCCTGTTAATTTACCCCCCCCATGTAACATTTGTAAGGCTAACAACTACTACCATGCTAATCACACACTTCCTGATTCTTAGACAATTAGATACAGACAGTACGCACATATTGCTCAATTGGGGGAAAAAAACTAAAGATACAGCATCTTGAACCTTCAACAAAAAACAATAAAGCAAAAATGTGTGTATAATATTTTAATTATTTCATCGTATTTACATGAAAACAGTTAAAGTCAATTCAAGAACAATAAATGCAGACACATTTTCAAATTAACGGTTTACAAAAGTTTTCGTTTTTTGCAAAAAATATACAATATCCACAATATTTTTATACATTTAAAAAAAGATGTGATGTTTTAAACTATTTATAGAACGATATTTCCGTTTCTGAAAATAAAGCAGAACCGTTTCAGCGTTTTAAAGGGCCCATACTACGCTATTTTCTGATCTATGTTATACTGTTGTTTCCTCATCACAAACCAAACAGAACTGGAGTTGGGTTTTGTTTCTTTCACACATTTAACGCACAAACCCTGCAGATTTGTTTTTGAGGAGATAACAGCATTATAACAAGCCAATTTTGCGTAATATAGGACCTTGAATGTTTAATCACGCTGTAAAAACATGACTTAAAATGACTTGAATTCAGGAGTTTTGAGGAGTTTATAACATTAGAAGCGTCCCATAACTCCCTCCTTACAGGGTTTAAAATAGTTGGAAGAGATTAGAGTCATGCTAAAGTTAAAATGAGAGAGAGGGCGTTTATAATTACAGAAGAGAGCTGACGAGTCCATGTTTGAGACAGAAATACCCAGTTTAGAGAACACAGCTGGAGCTCACCGATGGACACAGAAGGACTACTGTTTAATGAAGGAAAGAGGAATGAACATGAATGAATAAAGTTGGCTCAAAGAGGAGGGTTAGACCTGGGTTAGTCCTGGTTTAGTCCTGGTTTAGTCAGTGCTAGTTCTGTCCAAGTTCAGTCCTGGTTTAGTCCCAACTCCTCCTCCCATAACACCATTACTTGATGATTGTGATTGGGTAAGGAGGATTCGTTTTTAGTCCTAGTTGAGTCCTGGTTGAGTTCTGGTTTAAGCCTGGTTTAGCTCTGGATCAGCCCTGGTTTAGTCCTGTTGTTTAGTCCTAGTTTAGTCCTGGTTCAGCCCTGTTGGAGTCCTGGTTTAGTCCCGGTTTAGTCCTGGTTTAGTCCGGTTTAGTCCTGGTTCAGGCCTGTTGTAGTCCTGGTTTAGTCCTGGTTTAGTCCTGGTTTAGTCCTGATTCAGCCCTTGTTCAGTCCTGTTCTAGTCCTGTTCTAGTCCTGCTCCTTATGCCATATAACATTACTTAGTTCAGTATTTACTCCATTTCAGGGAAAATCTCCAAATTCTGTCCAGATGTTTCATTTGTGCTCAGTCCACAAATCTGAGCAGGATTCTGCAGGTTAAACTTTGGACAAGAACCCAGTGTTTGCTTGGTGCTTAGATCTCCTCCTGGGACCAAAACAAGTCTGCGGTCTTTGTATTGTCTTTGTTTAGTTCTGGTTTAGTCCTAGTTTAGACCACGTTTAGACCTTGTTTAGTGTTGGTTTAGTTCTGGGTTTGGACATGGTTTAGTCCTAGTTTAGACCACATATAGACCATGTTTAGATCTCTATAATGTATTTTGGTCCTTTTAGGGATTAGAAAGCTATTGCAGTTTTATCCTGGTTGGGCTCTGGTTTAGTTCTTACTTCATAGTTACTACAGCTACAACTGTATGACATCACAAGGTGGAGCAGAGCATTTGAGCTTTGAAGGTGTAGCCAGACTAATAATGAAGGATTACTCAAACATGAAAAACTCCATGCATGTTTTTGTTGAGGTGACAGCATTATTACATGACCTAAAGCTCACAAGGGTCCATTTTGTGTAATACAAGACCTTTTAAGATGCAAGAGAAGTTTCAGTCCTAGTTTGGCCCAAGTTAATTACTAGATTAATAAATCTTAACTACTATTACCCAAACCAAAAATCAAGTCATTTTATGTCCTGTTTTTTCAGTGTAACAGTGTCACTCCTCGAGGCCCCTCCCCCCTCTGTCCCGTTATAAAACATGTTGGAAAAAAACTGTTACATTTCCGCAGTTTTCCAGGTTTGATCCCAGAGTTTGCTTGGTGCCTCAGGGCTCCATGCGGTCTTCATTAGGACCAAACCAGAGAGCAGAGACCGGACTAGAGAACGGACCAGAGACCGGACCAGAGACCGGACCAGAGACCGGACCAGAGACCGGACCAGAGACCAGATGAGAGACCTGAGACTGAACTAGAGACGAGACCAGGGATCAGAGATCGGGGATCAGAGTCCAGTCCAGAGTCCAGAGTCCAGAGTCCAGAGTCCAGAGTCCAGAGTCCAGAGTCCAGAGTCCAGAGTCCAGAGTCCAGAGTCCAGAGTCCAGAGTCTAGACCAGAGAACAGAGTCTAGACCAGAGAACAGACCGTAGAGCAGACTACAGGAACAAGGAGTTGAGTCCTACACCACATTCTTCAGATTCCCTGTAAACAGAAGGACAAAAGAATGATTGTAATGGGGTAAAGGGCAGAGCTGGTTTAGTCCTGGGTCAGTCCCTGGTTTAGTCCTAGTTTACTTTTGATTTAGTCCCAGTTTAAGTCCTAATTGGGTCCTGGTTTAGTCCTAGTTTAAGTCCTGATTGAGTCCTGATTGAGTCCTGATTGAGTCCTGGTTCAGTCCTGGTTCAGTCCTGGTCCAGTCCTGGTCCAGTCCTGGTCCAGCCCTGATTAATAATGGTTTAATACTGGTTTAGACATGGTCTTAGTCCCTGGTTTAGCCCTGGTTAAAAAAATGAGTAATTAAATAGTAGCAGTAGTAATAGTTGTAACTCACTTGCACTTTCATATGTTCACACACATTTTATTACCATATTGAAATGTACTTATTATTTCCAGCTAATATCAGTCTGCACAGCTGTTTATCTCTCTTTCTCTCTTTATCCCTTTCTTTTTTAAACTTGTCTCTAAATCTGCCCTGCGTTTGCATCTGTCACATCTGGTTTCCATCTTCTCGTCCTAGGTCTCGTCTCCGTCCTTTCAAGTCCGTTTCACTCAAAATTCACTTTTTCAGAAATCTAATTTGACACAGAAATCTTCACCACAAACAAACTCCCCTAAAACGCTGCCTCTGTCTCCCATTAAGAAAGAACGGATTATTTAACAAATGAAGGAAAAACTACTTAAAATAATAGGGTCACAACAAAGGTGCACTGTGTAACTATTTGGTTGGAGGGAAAAACAGGCATCCTGACTGTGAGCGGGGTCGCCTCTCCACAGACCTGTACCTTGGTCCGGTTTGGTCTCCATGAAGATAGAAAGGTTTAATGTTATACTGTAAAACATTCCAGACAAAGCGTTAACATGTCCATGGAGAAAAGCATTCAAAAATCAGTACAGAAAAAATACCTTGTGCTTGTATCCACTACAGTTATAATCTATGACACCCGAGGATCATTATGTTATATTTTGAACATTTTAAATCACAATATTCATCTAAAAGGACTTAATAAAATAACCAAGATCGCTAACTTTGAAGCTAGAAAACTGGGAGAACCAACAATAAGGTTTTTTTTTATGTCCAATATTGATTGTTTAGAATTCAGAGCAACCAGTGACAGATATTTTTGGGCTGATACGTGTGGTACTCCTTTTGACCACAAACCTTTAAGAGAGCTGTGTAGTCACATTTCGTGCAGTTTTCTCAATGTGTTAAACTGTTAACATAAAGTTTTGTGTGTATTTTTTGGCTGCAAATCGACCAAAAAAAATATCCACCTGAGCTGGAGATTTAAGGCAGATAGCAGAGACACTATAAAGTCCAAATATTGGCTAACTGACCGAGATCTGTGAATCTTTACCATAAACGTCATCACAACAAAGAGCCGTGCAGGTGGCATCGCCTCTCACGTCACACTAGTGAGTAGATTTCTTTCTCATTTGTACCAAAGTAACTACGAGACGCCAAATGCCAAATCCTACGCGTATTACTGATTAAGAAAATAAAAGTGGAGAAGGAAGTAAGTACAAAGCAGTGGGTATACCAGTTGTGGTGAAAACAGGGGTAGATCGGAATAGAGATATATAAGATCTAAATTATATATGCAAAAATTTTTTTTTTTTACAATTTGGTGCATAGACATAAATGAACAAAATTGGACTGGATTGCACTCTTATCTAGTTTGTAGTAAAAAAAAAAAAGGGCTGAAGATGAGTTTGTACTAAATTCTAACCATATACTGTATTTTCCGCACTATAGGACGCACTTAAAAGCCTTTAATTTAATCAAAAAGTGACTGTGCGCTTTATAATCCAGAGCGCCTTATATGAATTTATTCGGGTGTCTTAGTACGACTTTAGTAAACTACAAAGCCGCTCCACTTGCAGCATCCTGTAGTCAGGAGCATCGTGGAGTAATATATACTGTGATTTCTTTTAATATCAAAATGCATCTGTCAAGAGACAAGCGTACAACGCGCACTTTAAAATCAAGACTATTATAAAGTGAAAGTACGAGCTGCGTGGGAGCAGTGGATGAGAGAAGGTGAACACACATTCACCAAGACAGAAAGACAGCGCAGAGCAACTTACGCCACGATCTGCCAATGGATCGTGGACGCCTGGGCTAAGGATCAGTATCAACTGTGGTCTGAGCTTTCACCAAGACCAGAATCATCATGAACTGCAGGTAACAGTAACCACAGTGACTCAGATAATGACGAGAGGGATGCAGGAGTGCTGGACGCCGTAATCGCCCAACTGTTTGAACAATTATGAGTTATTTGAATACGATAACAATTTAGCGTCTCAGACAGTATTTTTTTAGGCGTTACAATTGAACAAAGTTGAGAGTTATTGTGAATGCATTAAAAAAAGTTTGACTGACTTATCTAACTCTTGTGTTTCGTTTAATGCGCCTTATAGTCCGGTGAGGTTTATATGTGGAAAAAAGTTCAAAAATAGACCATTCAATGCGCCTTATAATCCAGAGTGCCCTATAGTGCGAAAAATACGGTAACTTAGGAAAAATCTAAATTGGACAATGATATTGGCAAAAAATATCAGCAAAGCTTATCGGATACAATTTTTTTCTGGATTCTAAACTGTTTTTATCGGTATCGGTCATGAAAAAACCTATATCAGAACAGAACAAACCCAGATATCTGAATTCACTCAGACATTACAGCTCCTTGCGTGGCTACAAGTCGTAACCAGGATTAAGAGGCTGAGAGTAAAACTTCACAAATACTTTTTATGATCGTTCTAACACCTTTTTAATTTAAAGAGGATAAAAATGAACAAAGCTCCCCAAATGTGACGTGGTCCTCTGCCAGGGTTTCCGAGGCTGTGGAGTCTGGAGAGCTCATTTAAATGTGTTTTTATTGGAGATTTGTGTTTGTTTATGAGACTGGGTCTGATTTATGCACAAACTATCACTTAATTATCAGTATTGACACCATAACTTTTACTGTTATTACTAAATCAGATCTCCTAAATCAGAAAAATAATGCCATGTTTTAAAAGGGGAGATATCATGTACTTTTTGGAGTTTTCTATCATGTTCTAATGCTGTTCCCTCATCAAAAATATGCCTGAAGAGGTTTTAAATGTCATCCATGCATGTTTAAATAATCTAGCCATCTCTCCCGAGCCCTATTCAAAGCCAGTACAAAGATCCGCCCACAAACCTACATCACATGAGAATTCTCCATAAATATACAAAAAATATGATACAAACCTGTACACTACAACTTCACAAACCTAATGTGATGTGCAGCAGTTTCATTATGAGGCTGATTGTGTTGTGATAGCACTCTGAAGGGGGAGTGACTTAGTGCAGGTAGCAGGGTAAGGGGGGACTCAGGCCGCTCACACCGCTAGTTCGATTATTGATCATTAAGAATTTCATCGATTACGTTCATTTTAAATCGACAAACCGAATGAAGGTTGCTGTGTGTAGTGTGACCAAACAGGGGTCCGTACATGTAGCTCTCCGCACTCAGAAGGCGCGAGCAGACACACACACAGTCAGTCAGCCCGCAACGTACCGAAGCACAAATGTGTATTTAACGATGACTTGTACAAGAAATTCCACGCTTTCCGTTGCGTTCAGGACAAGTGTGAGTCCATGTGCACATTGTACAAAGCAGCACATATGTTTCGGTGTCCAGTGGGAAAAAGTTTTGCGAGGTGAGAGTCGATCAATGTCGATGACGAGTCCCCACCTCCCACCCCCCGTACGGTGTCCTGGTTTTGACAAACGCAAATCTGGTCACACTAACCTGTATTCACCTGAGTCATGTCTTTTAATCCAACAGAAATTGACCGCATCAGCGACACAAGAGCTTTAGTTTTATCTTCGATTAGTTTATGCAAATTAGCGATGCGGTTTTAAGTTTCGTTTCTGTGAGAGTTGCGCAAAACTGAATTAAACACATTATAATGTCAAACGGGCTGATGTGGCTCTAGAGTGGTTACGGTTTATATGTCGTAAAGTTGAATTTATTTATGCAGATTAGTAGTGCAGATAGTAATAATAATGATGATCATTTTAATATAAAAACGTTAATGATTAATCGATAATCGATCGTTAATTCTTCCAACAATCGATTAAGAAAATTTCATCGAATGCCCATCCCTAATTGTTACTGTTAAATTGTTATTATGTAGCAGATAGACTCCAGTGTGGTCCTTTCACACCTGCAAACCAACCAAAATACACGCATCATGAATTTCAGACTTCCAGTCATTGCACAATACATACTAGGAAGGATTTTCCAAAAAAAAAGTGAGCAAACTACCATGTTTGTTTTCCCAGTGGGATGTGTCTATTGACAAAACCAGTCTTTTCTAGTCTTTTGAACCATATCGCTTTTGTTTCTGGTTCTGATATTGTCATATTTTAGTTTTCGGATTCAGACATCATAATTGTGTGGTTGTTGGATGTTCTAACAGCAGAAAACAGCTCGAGAAATTTGTTTGCGAACTTCATAATTGCAAAAGGGAATCAGATGTGTGTGACTGCAAACCTCCGTTCAAACTGTTTCCCTTCCCAACGGAATTGAAAAATAGTGAAAGGTGAAGGCGATGGGCAGGACTGATCCACGGGAAGGACAAAAAAGGAAACCTTTGACTGTCTAAATCATCCGGAGTTTGCAGCGAAAATTTTGTATGTGGAGTGCCAACAAAGAAAAATCCCGATCCTTTGCTCAAACTTGGTTACGAATTTAAAAAGTCAATGCCAAAGCGAAAAACACCAACTGTTCGCCAAGAAACACCTTCCACTGCAAAGCGACCAAGACGTGATGTTGCAGTAAAACCACAAGAACAAGAAAGTGCAGCTCAGTCTGTTTGTCTTCTGCACCTCTCACTTAACAAACGGAATCCCGCTTTGATGGTGCTCCAAATATTCACTGCAAACTCGGCAGCCAAAGGTTACCTTTTTTGTCTTTCCTGTGTATCAAAACTGCCCATCGCTTTTCACTATTTTTCAATTCTGTTGGGAAGGGAAACAGGTTTGCAGTCACACACATCTGATTCCCTATTGCATTAATGGAGTTCGCAAATTTCCAAAGCCCATTTCTTGAGCCGTTTTCCTCTGTTAGAACATCTAGCAACCACACAATTATGATGTCCGAATCCCAAAACAAAAATATGACAATATCAGAGCCAGAAATAAAAGTGATATGGTTCAAAAGACTAGAAAAGACTGACTTTGTCAATAGACACATCCCACTGGAAAAACAAACATGGCGGTTTGATGCCCACGTTTTCGGAAAATCCTTCCCAGTATGTATTGCGCAATGACTGAAAGTCTGAAATTCGTGATGCATCTATTGGTCCGACTATGTACATCTAAGGCTCCTGCTCACAGCGGGTTTGACTGCATGTGGCTCAGGGATGCTGAGGCTCTCCCGCATGCCAGACCTCTTGGAAGCAAGGAAAGACCTGTTGTCTGATTTGACACCTTTTTCATTAAACTCTTATTCATTATGTGTCCATCAAAGTCAGCGGTTAGCCTTCTCTACGGGAAGGGGCATTACTTTCAACAGCTGATTGGCTTTTTGGTTGCTATGAATTCACCTATAACTGGCAGCCTCGATGTGCTTCATTTGACTGCAGATGAACACTATGGGTGACGCCACACTCCCTTAGTCCACTTCTTTATACAGTCTACGGCAAGAACACATGAAATTTATTCATATAATTTTTCACTTATTTCAATAATTAGACACAACAACTGAATCCATCCACACTTCTGCTTCTTGTACATTCTGTACCAGCTTTCAGCTCTAATAAAGAACACAAGAAGAAGAAAGTAGAACTGCTATAATTTAAACCAACAGACAAAACCCCAAATCTCCACTTCACAAACCGTTTTATGAGCTCTGACCCAAACAGACCACTGTAAACAAAGCCTCACTAGGGTTATGTCACTTATTTTATCCACTAATGCGTTCCACATTTCGATTAAATTAAGACAATGCTTTCCTCAGCTTTCACTTCTTTTACCAACTCAAGACCGTACACACAAAACATCATGGTGAACAAGGAGCAGTGACCCTATCTCGCAAAGAGTTTGAATGGCAACATCTGACTGTAGTTCTTTAGGTATTCTGCTGTCTCTGTGTGTATTAGATGCCCTCCCTGTGTATTAGATGCCCTCCCTGTGTATCCATGGAGTCCTGTTTTATGTAAAAGCTGCTAACTCTCTACAAACATAGTACTTATGAGTTGGGGGCTATTTCATGGGTTTGTATTTCATGCTAAAGGTGCCATTTTGAAGACTTCAGACTATTTTTGATTCGAGTTGTTATTATGGCAGTGGTCATAATTTTTTACCTCTGTCTGAAACTCATGAAGGGGCCAAGAGGCGCTGTGTTGTCATGACGTTTCCAGTGATGTCAGCTCCCATTGGGCGCTCCAGTTTTCAAACACGAAAGTCAATGGGTTTGTTTCTTTAATTAAGTTGTTTTATGGATCTATAATAAAACCTCGATAAGGAATTCCCCATCTGTCCCAGCTTGAGACCGACTAGTGGCTGCTCCAGGGAACTTGGGCCCAGAAAAAAATCTCCGCATTGCAATTTTTAGGAATTCAAACTGCCCGTGTGTTCGGCTGACAGGACTTTCACAAAGGTTGGATTTTATAGGGATTCTTTTCTGTTTTTACAACATAAACTTTTTAAATCCTCAAAGTTAGTTTTGTAAGACTAAGCCTAGTCCTGCTCTAGCAAAAATTTGAGAAAGTTATTAACTATAGAGAAAATTATTTTTGGGCCCATGCGCCATTGAGCACAGGCCATTGAAAACAATACGACGCCATCTTGGGTTCATCTTCCAGACAGTAATTATAGTTCTATGTTTTAGATCAATATTGTGATTTAAAATGCCCAAATTATAACATAATGCTCCACAAGTGTCATAGATTAGAAATATAGAGCAGACACAAGCACAATATATCTTCTTCAGCTGTGATTAAATGTTTTTATTTATTTATTTGAGACAGGGACAGCGCACAATTTTCGCATTAACCTTGACAGGAGAGATGCATTGTACATCAGGTTGTAGCATCAGTGCTAATTTCCACCTGTAGTCCCTGGACAGGTTCATTGATTGATTGTAGTTAACTGACCTTGACTATAAACTGTTCTGGAGACCTGTAGCATGTTTTGGGTTGAATAAATGCAAGTTATCATAAAATTTTTAATGTGATACTGTGGAATATTTCATGCCAAACAATAACTTCTCCATCAGAAGCAAGCAGGTGAAGCACTCCCCCCCCCTAAAGGTTACACAGTGCACCTTTGAGTTTAAGTTTAAATAGATCGAACCTTTGATGGTGGAGATGACGTGATCCAGATGTTTGGAGTCGTTGCGGTCCGGTCTACAGCTTGGACTGATCTCCAGCGAGTAGTCAGGCCCATACTCTGTGAAGAACTGATACAAACAAAAGAAGGAGAGAAATTGGATACAGAGAAGGGTGTACAACTTAACTGTAATAACATTAAAGGGCCCATATTACGCTATTTTGATTTCTGATCTATGTTCGAATGTTGTTTCCTCATCACAAACAGACCTGGAGTTGTGTTTTGTTTCATTCACACATGTTTAACACATAAACCCTGCATGTTTAGGCTGAGTTCTTCTCTCAGACTCCCGTAAAAACTCTGATCCACCTTGTGATGTCATGTGGTAATACAGGAAGTGCTCCACTATGTTTTTTAACTCCATACACCTTCACTAGAATCATTTGGATCATTTCAGCCCTGGAATTGCCAATCTCTATTGAACTAAACTTAAAAGGAACTTGAAAACTAGCACTTCATGACATTATAAGGTGGAGCAGAGCATTTCAAGCTGCTTGTTTCTATGGATATGTCATAGCTCTGCCTGGAATGTTCCACAGTATGACATTAAACACATCTATCTTACATTTATTCAATTACAGGTGGTTTTATAACTCAAGAAAAACGGGCATTCTGACTGTGAGCGGCGTCGCCTCTCAACAGATCTGTCCTGTAAATTGGTCTGGTTTGGTCTCTATGGTGATAAAATATAAAAAAGATTTAATGCCATACTGTGAAACATACCAGACAAAAGAGTTTCACGGACCCTCCACCAGAAAAGTTGCACAATGCACCCTTTAAAGCTCACACGAGTCAATTTAAGATAAAACCAGGAGACAAACATTAGAAATATTGAGCTGTAGAAGAGAATCAGTTATATCCTTATTGTGTAAAAGTTATTAATTCCACATTTTTTCAAGAGGAGATTTCATGTCTAGCTCCCATTGTTTGTCTTATTTGAGTTGGCAAATTCTTCAAAACTGAATCAGGAGCACGTCCACGGACTGGCCGACAGACTGACCTCAGACAGAGACAAACGCCAAAGATGATTTCAGCTCAAGTTTCTGACAAAGAACCATCACATAAAGAATAATTCTCAGCTGTAAAAACAACTGTATGAGATCAGATTTTATTACCTTTTCTTTTAAAGCCAGAGTTGGCCTGAAGCTCTATTTCACTATTTTCACAACTAGATATTAAAGACATATTATACAAAGTTAACCTTTAAAAGCTTTTAGGAACATATATTCATACTTTTATTATAGATCTAGTTTGATGGGCCCATATTATGCTATTTTCTGATCTGTGTTATGTTGTTTCCACATAAAAAAAAATAAAATAAAAAAACATACCAGGAGTTGTGTTTTGTTTCATTCACACATGTTGCATATTTTGGCTGAGAAAACACTGTTCCAAGTTGTGATGTCATGTAGTAATACAGGAAGTGCTTCACTGTGTTTTTAAAGTCCATACACCTTCACTAGAATCATTTGGATAAATTCAGGTCCTGGAGTTTCGCATCTCTACAAAACAATAAGTAAAAGGGAGCGGTTAACGTGAATACTACCACTTGATGATGTCACAAGGTGGAACAGAGCATTTTGAGCTTTGGAGATGTGAACAGACTGATAACAACCCAAAACATGCTACAGGTCTCAATAAAACAGTTGATAGTCAAGGTCAGTTAAATACAATCAATTCAATCATTGTGTGTCCTTAGGCAAGACACTTCACCCACATTGCCTAGTATGAAAGTGGTGTGTGTGTGAGTGATGGTGGTGGTCGGAGGGACGATGGCGCCGATTGGCATGGCAGCCGCACTTCTGTCAGTCTGCCCCAGGGCAGCTTTGGCTACAATAGTAGTTTACCATCACCAGGGTATAGAGTGAATGAATAATGCTGAATAATGCTCTGTAAAGTGTCTTTGGGGACAGAAAATGTCTGTGAAAAGCGCTATATAAATAAAGACTGACTTACTTAATAAAGGGTTAGTCAAACATGTCTGAGGCTATGTTTATACAGAAGACACAAAAGTGGTGTCGCGTCTTCGCTTTTTATTCCACATTTAGACGAGCGTTTTCGGGATCAAATCTACATGCATACAGTGACACAACGTTGTGTGGAATTCGATTGGGTATGCATGCCAGGCAGCTCGATGGTGATGTATGTGACATAAACGCGTACGCGACATGAGCAGATTTGACCAGAGTTTCGCGTTTTGGGCAGTGGAGACGGAAATGCTACGGCGAAGTGTATTCAACTTTTCCACTCTGGAGGGTGGTTTCAGATTTTTGCATTTTTAAGCCCTAAAAACGCCGTCACCGTCTAAACGAAAGGCACTTCCGATAAACTATTTTGTCATTTTTACCCGCAAGCGTTCTCATGTAAACAGGCCCTAAATGAAACAAAAAAAACTAAACAAAACTCCAGGTCTGTTTTAAAAATACATGGAGAAAATCTGGTACAGACCCTTTAAAAGATAACAGGATTACTCAAACATGTGTGAATGAAACAAAACACACCTTTAGTTATGTTTTTGAGGAGGTTACAACATTATAAAAAGACTTAAAGTTCCCAAGAGTAAATTTTGCATAATATAGGACCTTTAAGACTTCTGTGGATAATTATTTTATATTTTTAACGGTTTAAATGTATTCATCACAAACAGGGACCCCTTTGTCAGGCCAAGATGTCAGTGCCACCAATGTGTATGTGAAAATGGGGTTTGAGCTCCTCTTCCCACTGTGAGTAAGTCTAAATTGACAAAAGTTTTATGTGACAATATGAAATGATTTAAACATTTGAGTTTCTGATATGACTTAAGTTTGTCTCATTTTTGTGTCTGTACTTGTTTAAAGATCAACAGACTTTTGGTTAGAACTGGTTAGAATCCAGAGCAACCGATGGCTGATATTTGAGCAGATTTTTATTATTTCCTAAAAGTATGTATTTTGTAGAAACTCATCCACAATCTCCACAATGTTTTACAGACTGAATATGAGAGCAATGCAATCACATTTTTGCAGTGCCCTCTATACAAAAGTGCTCAAATGAAAAAAAAAAACAAAAACGATGTACAAATATTTTTAGGGAGCTGGTTCGGGCCAAAGAAAATATTGGCTGCTGCTAGAGATGTAAAGCTGATATCTGATATGTCAAAAAGTGCAAATATTGGCCCTATCTCTAATCTGGATCATTTTATGCTTTGTTCTTTCAATGCTTTGTTCCTCACTTCAAATTACAAATCAGATGTTATGTTACTTTTAGTGGAGTAGAGTCATTTCTTGGATCACACCTTTGTAGTTGTGCCTGAATCATTTTATTGTGAAAAGTACAGACAGTTCAGGGACCAGTGTTCAGGAAGTGTTTCATTGAAAAACATTGTGTTTGTTATTTCAGGGTTTGACGGGACGCTCAGTCATGAAGGAGAGAAGGAGAGAGAGAGAGAGAGAGAGAGAGAGAGAGAGAAAAACGTATGATCGAGGATTCAAGAGAGACAAGTATTCATTCAGAGACAAGTAAAAAAGGTAAACAAAATGGGAAAGAAGAGAGCAAGAAGAGAGGAGGAAAAGGAGAGAAAGGGGGAGCAGAAAGGGGACAGGTGGCAGAGAGAGGGGAGAGAAGAGAGGACGAAAAAGGGAGGGGAGAGAGACAGGGGAGAGAGAAGAGAGGACGAAAAGGAAGAGGAGAGAGAGGGAGCAGAAAGTGGACAAGCGGCAGAGAGACTGGAGAGACAGGAGAGAAAAGAGAGGACGAAAAAGGGAGAGGAGAGAGACGGGAGAGAGAAGAGAGGATAAAAAGGGAGAGGAAAGAGTGCGAGCAGAAAAAGGACAGATGGCAGAGAGGGGAGAGAGAGGAGAGAGAAGAGAGGATGAAAAGGAAGAGGAGAGAGAGTAGAAAGTGGGCAGGCAGCAGAGAGAGAGAGAGAGAGAGAAGAGAGGAGAAAGGGAAAGGAGAGAGAGAGAGAGAGTGGCAGAGCAGAGAGAGACAGAGAGAGAGAGAGAGAGAGAGAGGAGAGAGAAGAGAGAGAGAGAGAGAGAGAGGAGAGAGAAGAGAGGACAAAAGGGAAAGGAGAGAGAGGGAGTAGAAAGTGGGCAGGCGCAGAGAGAGAGAGAGAGAGAGAGAGAGAGAGAGAGAGAGAAAGAGAGAGAGAGGAGAGAGAAGAGAGGACGAAAAGAAAGAGAGAGAGAGAGAGCAGAGAGAGAGAGAGAGAGAGAGAGAGAGAGAGAGAGAGAGAGAGAGAGAGAGAGAGAGAGAGAGAGAGAGAGAGAGAGGATGAAAAGGAAGAGGAGAGAGAGAGGGAGTAGAAAGGGCAGGCAGCAGAGAGAGAGAGAGAGAGAGAGAGAGAGAGAGAGAGAGAGAGAGAGAGAGAGAGAGAGAGAGAGAGAGAGAGAGAGAGAGGAGAGAGAAGAGAGGACGAAAAGGGAAAGGAGAGAGAGAGGGAGCAGAAAGAGGACAGGCGGCAGAGAGAGGAGAGAGCGGACAGAGATGAAAAGGGAGAGGAGAGAGAGAGGGAGCAGAAACAGGACAGATGGCAGAGAGGGGAGAGAGAGGAGAGAGAAGAGAGGACAAAAAAGGGAGAGAAGAGAGACGTCTGGTAAAGACAATTCATTTTGCCATCACAATAAAACGAACTGAAGTACAGAGCAGTGATAGGGCTGGAAATTGATTACATATTAATCATATTTGAAGTTCAAATCCATTTGAGTGGAATAAAAATACTGTTCTTCTTATTTTATTTTCTCCACATTCTTACATTGGAAATTGCATTGAAAATCCGAGAAAGGCAGAGTTAACACAGAGACCTACAACTGATGCTCTGAAATCAGTGACGTCAATTCAGTGTTGGGCCTATATGTTTAATGCTATAGTTTTAATCTAATTCATAAACAATTTCTCCAATAGGGCTGGGTATCATTAAGAAGTTGCCGATACGATACATACCTCAATACACAGGCCACGATATGATACATATCTCGATACAGTGAGCTTTCGATTTGATACTATATGTTTCAAATCAGTTCGATACAGTTCAATAAAAGATGATGGCTGTGATCCTAAAAGTCTTTGTTAAACCACTTCTTGTGCAAA